CGAACGGCACAGTGAGTTGAAGGCGGATCGGAATAAGGAGTGTCTCCTGCTCTTAGCACAAACTTGTCGTCTTCGAACGGTCGGTGAGTTGCTCGGCGGAACGAATCACGGAGTTTGTCTCTTCTACCCGTAGAGGAAAGTATCACTTTCTCCGAACGGCACGGTGAATTGCAGGCGGATCAGATCGGTGACTCTTCGTCTACCTTGCTGCTCTGTGGCTCCTTCGGGACCTGGAACCACTGATCAGTGATGGTAGGCACCTATGTGCCTACAGATACGCATGCGCACAAGCTGTAGGCTGAGTCACAGTCACGACAGGTAGGGTAACCGGTGATGACTTCAATTGTAACTAACTAGGAAGAGGAAGCTATTCACAAGAAACGGAATGTGCACCTGGTATGGGGCATGCAGCCGGGGCTGCGTGCCCTGATCGCGGGTAGGTGTCACGTGAGTCGTGCATGAACCGTGATGGTATCCCGATTGCACGGGTTACTCAGCAGGTTAGTATTCCAACAACCGTCAAAGAAACAAGTTTTGTGACCCCTCTCCGTAGGAGAGGGGGCCTGGACCCCGCTAGTCAACCCCGAGTACACCTGGACAGTTGAACATAGAGGCTCGTGAAATCGCATTTGGAGGGTTCGCCATTGGTCAGACGATTTCCACGCAGCTCCAAGAGTACTTCTACAAATGTTTTACCCTGAGATTTATAGTCAGTGAGGACGAACGCTGGCGCAACGGGTAATCCACGTCGTGCATCTTGCCGACAAGAATTTGAAGTGAGAGCTAGTCGAATCGAGCGTATGCGACATGGGTCTGATGAGCACTGTCCCGACCGGGAGGGATGGTATCGCCAAGGCTTTCGTCCTCGGACTGCAGAAGAATGCCGAGCGGTGGCCCGAAGTGGATGGTCACGTCATCTGCCAAGCAGTATCCCGGGTGATTGGGATCGATTATCACGTCCACGGCGGTAAAGTCGGCCCCATTCACAACCTTCAGGCCAGTGTAGATGTTCTTGTTCACAACCACGGGCATGCCCTGGGCGTAGAAGAAGACGCCGGGGACTTTGCAGGCAGAGTCGTCGCCTTGTCCGATGGTTCGCACTACGATGTCTGGAGAAAGCGCGCCGCTACGCCAGGTGTGAGTCGAGACAAAGATACGGATATGCCGCTGGTTGAAGCGCGCCCAGCCCACAACAGCTTCCATGTTGAGGGCCCACCGCGGTTCAGCGGCGTTATAGCGCGCAAACCATCGTGGAAGGTGATTTGCGAGCGTCCTACAATGTTGGCATTGAGCAAGCTCAGATCTTCATGGGTCTGGCGCCCGTTACGAACTCGATCCAGGAGTGCACGGAGTTGGGGATCGTTGCGTGCGCGGACTTGGTCTTCGAGGAGCACCACGGTTTTGAACAGATGCCACAATCTGCAGCCGCTGTGGTGAGAGATGGTGGCTTGTCGCAGGGGGGTCTGTGTTCGGTCCGGCGGTCTGTTGATCAGGAGGCTTGTTTCCGCACGGGGCGAACTGGTAGAAGTCTCCCATCAGTAGAACGACGGGCATGCCGCCAAACGGTTCGTCCGGACAGTCACGGAGTGCCTGCAGGTGACGACTGACGTTGTGCAGAGTGGCTCCTCCCAGCATACTGACCTCGTCAATCACGAGTACCAGCTTCAGTTTCCATATCCATTTCTTCGCCTCCGAGAAGGGGGGAGGCGGTTTGTTTGGATCGCGATGGGAATCTAACCCACAGGCCGAGTGGATCGTCGTGCCGCCAATCTGGGCCGCCGAACTGCCTGATGTGCCGGTTATCTGCAGAAGATGTGGCTGGTCTCGCCGCGAACACGCCCTTCAGGGCATCGATAATCCTTGACTTTCCTGTGCCTCCCGGCCCGCCGGTATATTGAAGATGCTGACCAGCTGAGTCCGGATCGGCAGTATACTTGTCCAGAAATACGCAAACGAGTTGAAGGGCCATGGTCTGTAGATAGTTCAGTGTAAAGCTAGCGGCGGTGGTGCGTCCCATCTCCACGAAGCTAGTGACCGGACTGACGTCGACAAGCATCCGAGGGCCTTGTTCATCGAGGTCACTACCCGGGAGCGCAGCGGCGGACTCCATATCGCCGTAACGAGCTAGGGTATCGTCAATGTCGGTGCCATTCGCGGACAGTACGGTGCGCTGAGAACCAGCCTCGATATCATCCAGCATCCGAAGATGCAATAGTCGTTGGGCTTTGGCCGCTGCTTGACATCGTCTCGAGAGATTGAAATTGGCACAAGGCGTCACCTTGATCATGGGGTATATTCCGGTACAAATCCTCCTGACGTAGCACAAAAGGCTGTTCTTCTTCAGCCGGGTTCTCTTCGCACAGGTCGCGTATTAAACCTCAAGGACGGGGAGTCTTTCGTGGCGTCTGTATCTTGCACGGCATTTCGCAAAATCTGAGTAGAGCTCTGTAGGCCTGACGATGGGCCATCGCTGGAGGCTCTTCGTAGCGGCCATCGTCAAGTGGGTACTGACGTCAATTGTGTCGTCACCTCCGATCGAGTGGCCCAGAGCTTCGCGTCTTTACGCGCGTCCTCGGCAGACTTTCTCAAAAGACAAATGTTGGAGACGTAGAAACGGAGGCGGGGACAAAGCCGCGCTCGATGCGTCGTCCATATGTCGGTTATATCGCCTTGGCTCTCAGAAATGAAGTTTTCCAAGGGACGAATAACGCCAAATGTAGGACAGAATTTCTGCACAGGCCGTCAGACGGAGCCAAAACGGTGCCGGGGGGTTAGAGAGTACCGCTTAATATACACTGGGTGATCGTCGTCATGGTCGTCGCTGATGTATCCTTGGAAGATCGGGACGGCGTACTGGTCGGGCCGTCGAAGCTTTTGCATCCAGCCGTCACAGTCGGAATCCTGCCCATCGAGAAAATGTGAGATTCATCTTCACTCCGACCCTTTCGACGCACCAAATGAATCATCGACATGTAGTCATACAGGCATAAGTCCCGTAGAACATGGCCCCGGTAGGCGTACGCATCTAAGCATAGAAGCGTTCGCCCTCCTTGCCTCAGAGGGATGGTCTCCGGGGGCTGTTCAGCGTCCGTCAGCTCGCCGGCCTGGTGGCGGAGATGTGCCCATAGCCGAAAGATTGTCCAGTAGAGGGCCGTCAAGTTCAGGAACGACCAATGCGGCACGTTGGTAAAGTCGGTGTCATATCCAAGGAGGTGGTAACAGACCTCGACGGCCGAGAGTTGTCGCTCGGAGAAGATCCGATTTGCCGTTCTCATCAGGAACTGACGGCTCTTGTTTAAAACTGCCTGCTGCCTGTCGTCGGGCAGGGTGGGACCTGGCGCGCGACACCTCGCACCACCGGCTTCGCGGAGTTGGCGGGCAACCTCGGTGGCGAGGCAATGTGCTTCCACATCGGCGTATCCAGTTTGGTGGCGTAGTTCGTGATGTAGTACACCATGGCCAGGCCCTTGGTTTTGGTCAAGATCATCGAGACGTCGTGATTATGACGAAGGCCGACCGCCAACGACTTGTTGTACCGGTTGACGAGTGGATGGTTGCGCCGGATCTGAAGCAAGCCATCCTCTGTGAAGCCTGTCTCCTCGAAGATCTTCCACGGTGCCTTGAAGCGGCAGGCTGTCCGTCTCTGTTGATCTGCCCCTGTTCGATGACCCTTTAGAGAATACTTAAGGCAGGTGTATGTGGGAGTGCACTTGGCAACAGTACGCGATGAAATTGGATTCGTCTTCAAAGGCCGAAGTGAGAGCCAAGGTGCTCCTCATGACCTCCTCCACGGGTTCGATGGGCTTCCTCTATTGTCGCACGGCTTTTCCGGCATCTTCATCTAGGCACTCATGAAAGACGGAGTCTATGTATCGGATCACCTGGGCACGATACGATTCTTCCGCGGGATTGGCCATGTCGCCCATCAGGTTCGGTAACCGCATGTTGCCGTCCAGCCAGAGGAGTCCATGCAAGTGGAGGCTGCCTCGCTCGTTCGTTTCCACCGTGGCGTAGTAGTGGCTGATCTTCCCGAAGATCGATTCTGGCCTGTGTTCACGTATTTGTCAAAGAATAGAGATATTTCTCGGTGGAAGAAGATGGCCGAGCTGACCGGATCCATGGTGCTGAGGGCGATTCTGTCGTACCTTTCACGGAGATCGGCCAAAAGCTCCTTTGCAGACTCATAATCATGGAGCCTATGAATGGCAAGCTTCATCTTTACCGGATTATTTATGTCGTTGGGACTGATGGTAATCCAGATTGCAGGCATACCGGCCCAAATGTCCAGAGCTTGGATCTTCCTCCGCATAAGCAGACGGGATTCGTTGGAGAGCGGCTGTGCATGACCAAAATCGACAGCTCGCGGAGCAAGAGCGATATGTCGGGGTCCGACGTAGTCCTTGTCTCCCGCATCTCCGCCTCGGCCCTCTTCAGTCGGTCCTCGGTCAAGTTCGCATAGGCCTGCTCAAACCTGTTGAAGGAATCTTTAGCGACACGAACCATGCTGATGCGGCGGTTGGAGGAGCGGAGGAGGGTGTTGAATACTAAGAAACAAAAGACAGGATGGGTGGCGAACCGGCCTCCATGCCGTTGCAATACGTATTTGGCCCAGTAATTAAGCGAGTGATTCGGACGACGGTCGGCAGGGCCGCCTTGTCGTCTGTGACTCGAGTCGCACTTCGATTTCGGGCCGCCCTTCCCACGGGAAAAGCTTCGAAATGTTCGAGGAAGAAATCTTCGTGCAGGTTGTCTGCAAAATCCGCACCACGCTCTACTCGGACAAACGGCTGGTCTCCCGTAGTTTGGACCTGCATAACGCACAGCACAGAGTTGCCATGTCGATCCGGATTGGCGTTGACGATGTCGGCCAGAAACGACAGTTTATCGGACTCGGCGAAGGCAGCCGGACCATCGAGAGAAACATGCCGGATGTAGACGTCTCACAGACAGTGTCCACTTCCTGGCCGATGGCAGCCGAGTCGGGGACAAGAGTCACCGGCTCACCAGGAGGGTTGAGTCTGCTCGGTCGACAGAGTACAGTTCAAATCGCAAGATTCGGCGATGAAAGTAGGATCGATCGAGTTCACCAGTTCATCGATGCTTCTAAAGCTGTTTTCCTGCAAGCCTCGATCGGTGTCCGGGACTATGTGGTCCGTTTGTGTCTTCTCAACAGTCGACGGTTCCTCTCTCTGCATGCGGTCCATGATGACGGTCGGAACAGTGGAGCCGTCGGCATACCGCCAGCCATCCATCTCTGCTTGGTTGATTGCGATACCCTCATAAAGCGGGTTGTTCCTTTGTAGCCATGCCAAGGCAGCTGCCACTCGAGATTTGCGCACCTGAAGCAGGTTTCTGACGTCTGCGGAGCCAGGCTTAGCCGAACCGCTCCAAGAGACGTGAATGTTCTCGATGGCCTGCAGCAAGGGATGAGGAAGAACCGTGGCCACGAGATCGTCCACTTTGTTCGGAAAGACGACAATATGTCCTTTCACGTGCTTGCGGTAACTGATTCCCGAACGGGTCTTGTTGTCGACGGTGAACTTAGTGATATAGCCAAAAGGTGCATGCAGGGCAATGAGTCTCTCTTCGACGGGAGAGAGGTCATCAAGCTCTTCGGGGTACCGGTGCTCACAACCGATGGCCATGTTGTTGACCGAGCAGGCCTTAGGCAGCCGCCCACTGTCGAAGCTGGCGCGACACTCGCGGCACACGTCAACTCCGGCGCCCTCGTGCGACGGAAGGCACGCATCACACTCCTGGAGAGCCATGGCCGTCTGTAGCAGCAAGGGTGACAGACGACCCCTCCACTGCATGGTGGTGAGTTCGCAAGGCGATGTCTTCCTGTAGCAGAAGACGCAGTGGGAGACCGGCAACGTCCTCTCATCCGTAAACGCTTGGTAGAAAGACTTGGAGGCCTCAACCTGAAGGGCAAGTGGAACTTCGTGGCACCAGGATCGCGTTGATGACGCAAGCTCCTTGACGCGGAAACAGGCGTCATAGTGATGTAGAGTGGACTCGACAGAGTCCCGCTGGAGTTGAACGGTTTCGCATCGGCCGGGGCCTTTTGGGGGCGCCTTGGCTGCGTGGGCGGTGGAGTGAAGTGCTTGCTCTTCTAGGTCGTTTTGGTGATGGAGTGGCTGGCGGCTGCGTGTGTGCGGCATATTGGTATTGAGCTTCACGGCGGCGGGTTTGGTCTTCGGCGCGCCGGCGATCCATATCGTGCAAGACACGGAGGATCTCGTCATGGGGAACTCTGACAGTCTGTGACCGGCGCTGATAGGACCGGCGCGATTCAAGATCCCTTAAGGTGCGGCGAACCTCTTCGGGTGAGACCGTGGCTGGGTTCTCGCGGCATGGTGCAAGGATGGTTCCGAACGAGTGCATGGAAGAAGGAAAGAAACAGTCTATTACTGGCACCTGGGAGCAAGACGGCGACCACGACATGTGATCGAGAAACTCAGCAAAGGTTTCGAATGCTCATGGACGGGGTAGTCTGCCGAAGCTCAGAGGTGCTTGCGTGAAGGATAGATGGGCAGACGGAGACGTCGGTTCATGGCTCCGCTATCGCAGGGGATGGCGGCGGTTACGAAGTGAGGGGCTTAGGGTTAGAAGCATCCCGCAAAACGGGAGGGCCAATCATGTGTTGTACGGTTCTTGGCGGAGTGGATGGCGTCCTTGCCCATACGACAAGGGCCCCATGACGTCGATTTCTGGGTAGACCGTCTCCCAGCACAGGATCCGTATCCAAATGGACAATCGGGGGCCGGGCTGGACCATGGTCGAAGTAGGGCTCCGGCCCGGGTAGCGGGGCCGGGCAGCGGGGCCGGAGCCGGAGCGGTCAACGCGGGCGGTGGAGGCGAGAACGGAAAGAGGGAGAGTTGTTGTGTGGCTCGGGAAAGGCATGAAGCCGAGTGGAAGGTGGCGGTGAAGGCTGGCGCAGCTCGCACGGGGCGCCAAGTGGCCCGAGCTACGGAGGGGCGGAAGAAGGATCCTTTCGTCTCTTCGTTCCTCAAGGCACAAGGCACGGGGCGCTAAGTGGCCCAAGCTGACGGAGGTGGCGGAAGAAGGATCCTTTCGTCTCTTCGTTCCTCAAGGCACCTCAGCAGGACAGGAGACCGGCCCCTTCCAGGGTCCGCCAATGCCTTGAGGAACGGACTAAAGCATTAGTTGGCCGGCGGCAAGTATCAACGCGCCCGGCAGTGCTAAAGGACCCCCGTTCCCGAACTTGGTCAGTATGCCTATCTTTCGCAACCCTAATTCTCGTACATTCGTCTCGTTTCTACGGCCAAGTTCTTAAGTCTCTGCATTCCATCAACTATGGCCTGATCCAGCCCATTGCCAATGAAATCATGCTGTCTCACGGGACCGAGAAGCTTGATGCCCCGAAGCGTAGTGCACCTGGACAGTTGCACATAGAGGCTCGTAAAATTGCATTTGGAGGGTTCCCCATTGGTCACACGATTTCCACGTAGCTCCAAAGTACTTCGACGAACGTTTTACCCTGGGCCTTGTAATCGGTAAGAACAAACGCTGGTGCCACGGGTAATCCACGTCGTGTGCATCTTGCTGACAAGAATTTGAAGTGAGAGTTAGTCGAATCGAGCGTATGTGACATGGGTCGGATGAGCACGGTCCCCAACGGCAGGGACGGTATCGCCAACGTTTTCGTCTCTTGAGACTGCAGAAGAATGCCTAGCGGTGGCCCGAAGTGGATTGTCACGTCATCTGCCAAGTAGTATCCTGGGTGATTGGGATCGAGTATAACGTCCACGGCAGTAAACTCGGCTCCGTTGACAACTTTCAAGCCAGTATAGATGTTCTTGTTCACAACCACCGGCATACCTTGGGCGTAGAAAAAGACACCAGGGACTTTGCAGACAGAGTCATCACCTTGTCCAATGGTTTGTGCTATGATGTTTGGAGAAAGCGTGCCGTTGCGCCAGGTGTGAGTCGAGATAAAGATACGGATATGTTGCTTGTTGAAGCGCGCCCAGCCTACGACAGCTTCCATGTTGAGGGCCCAGCGGGTGCGGTTCAGCGGCGTTATAGCACGCAAACCATTGTCGAAGGTGATTTGGGAGCGTCCTACAATGTTGGCGTTGAGCAAGTCGAGGTCTTGCCGTGTCTGCCGCCCGTCACGAACTCGATCCAGGAGTGCGCCGAGTTGGGGATCGTCGCGTGCCCGGACCTGGTCTTCGAGGAGCACAACGGTTTTGAACAGATGCCACAATCTACAGCCGCTATGGTGAGAGACGGTCGCTTGTCGCAGAGGTGCCTGGGTTCCGTCCGGCGGTCTATTGATCAGGAGGCTTGTTTCCGCACAGGGGCGAACTGGTAGAAGTCTCCCATCAGCAGAACTACAGGCATCCCACCAAATGGCTCGTCCGGACAGTCACGGAGTGCCTGGAGATGACGACTGACGTTGTGCAGAGTGGCCCCCCCAAGCATACTGACCTCGTCAATCACGAGTACCAGCTTCTGTTTCCAGATCCATTTCTTCGCCTCCGAGAAAGGGGGAGGCGGTTTGTTTGGATCGCGATGGGAATCTAACCCACAGGCCGAGTGGATCGTCGTGCCGCCAATCTGGGCCGCCGAACTGCCCGATGTGCCGGTTATCTGCAGAAGATGTGGCTGGTTTCTCGCCGCGAACACGTCCTTCAGGGCATCGATGATCCTCGACTTTCCCGTGCCCCCCGGCCCGCCGGTATACTGGAGATGTTGGCCAGCTGAGTCCGGATTAGCCGTATACCTGTCTAGAAATGCGCAAACGAGTTGAAGGGCCATGGTCTGTAGATAGTTCAGTGTGAAGGTGGCTGCGGTGGTGTGCCCCATCTCCGCGAAGCTAGTCGCCGGAGTGACGTCAACGAGCATTCGAGGGCCTTGTTCATTGAGGTCACTGCCTGTGAGCGCAGCGGCGGTGTCCATATCGCCGTAGCGAGCTAGGGTATCGTCGATGTCGGCGCCATTCGTGGATAGTACGGTGCCCTGAGAACCACCTCGATGTCGTCCAGCATTCGAAGATGCAACAGGTCTTGGGCCTTGGCTGCTGCTTGGACATCATCTCGAGATAATATTGGGAATTGGCACAAGGTGTCGCCTTGGTCGTGGGGTATATTGAGGTACAGATCCTCCTGACGTTGGACAAAAGGTTGTCCTCCAGCGAGGTTCCCCTTACGCACGTCGCGTATTAGATCCAAGAGGACGAGGAGTCCTTTGTGGCGTCAGTATTTTGCACGGAATTCCGCAAAATCTGGAGTAGAGCTGTGTAAGCCTGATGTTGAGCCATCGCTGGAGGCTCATCCTCGTAGTGGCCGTCGTCCAGTGGGTACTCAACGTCAATTGTGTCGTCACCCTCCGATCGACTGGCCCAGAGCTTCGTGTCTTTACGCGCGTCTTCGGCAGACTTTCTCAAAAGACAAATGTTGGAGACATGGAAACGGAGGCGGGGACAAAGCCCGGCCCGATGCCTCGTCCATATGTCGGTTATATCGCCTTGGCTTTCAGAAACGAAGTTTTCCCAAGGGACGAATAACGCCAAATGTAGGACCGAATTTCTGCACAGGCTGTCAGACGGGGCCAAAATGTTGCTGGGGGGTTAGAGCGTACCGCTTAATATACACTGGGTGATCGTCCTCATGGTCGTCGCTGATGTATCCTTGGAAGATCGGGACGGCGTACTGGTCTGGCCGTCGAAGCTTTGCATCCAGCCGTCACAGTCGGAATCCTGCCCATCGAGAAAATGTGAGAGTCGTCTTCACTCCGACTTTTCGACGCATCAAATGAATCATTGACATATAGTCGTACAGGCATAGGTCTCGTAGAACATGGCCCCGGTACGCGTACGCGTCCAGGTATAAAGGGTTCGCCCTCCTTGCCTCAGACGGATTGTCTCCGGGGCTGTTCAGCGTCCGTCAGCTCGCCGGCCTGATGGCGGAGATGTGCCCATAGCCGAAAGATTGCCCAATAGAGCGCCGTCAGGTTCAGGAAAGACCAATGCGGCACGTTGGTAAAGTCGGTGTCATATCCAAGGAGATGGTAACAGACCTCTACGGCCGAGAGTTGTCGCTCGGAGAAGATCCGATTTGCCGTTCTCATCAGGAATTGACGGCTTTCATTCAATACTGCCTGCTGCCTGTCGTCGGGCAGGGTGGGATCTGGTGCGCGAGACGTCGGACGACCGGCTTCGCGAAGTTGGCGGGCAACCTCGGCGGCAAGAGCAATGCGTTTCCACATCGGCGTATCCAGTTTGGTGGCGTAGTTCGTGATGTAGTACACCATGGCCAGGCCCTTGGTTTTGGTCAAGATCATCGAGACGTCATGGTTATGACGAAGGCCGACCGCCAATGACTTGTTATACCGATTGACGAGTGGATGGTTGCGCCGGATCTGAAGCAAGCCGTCCTCTGTGAACCCTGTCTCGTCGACGATCTTCCACGGTGCTTTGAAGCGGCAGGCCGTCCGTCTCTGTGGATCTGCACCCTGTTCAACGATCCTTCAGAGAATACTTGAGGCAGGTGTACGTGTGGGAGTGCACTTGGCAACAGTACGCGATGAAGTTGGATTCGTCTTCGAAGGCCGCAGTGAGAGCCGAGGTGCTGGTCATGACCTCCTCCACGGGATGGATGGGCTTCCTCTGTTGTCGCAGGGTTTTCCAGCATCTTCATCTAAACACTCGTGAAAGACAGAGTCTACGTACCGGGTCACTGGGCACGGTATCCTTCTTCCGCAGGATTGGCCATATCGTCTACCAGGTTCGGTAACCGCATGTTGCCGTCCAGCCAGAGGAGTCCATGTAAGTGGAGGCTGCCTCGCTCGTTCGTTTCCACCGTGGCGTAGTAGTGGCTAATCTTTCCAAAGATCGATTCCTGGCCCGTGTTCACGTACTTGTCAAAGAATAAGGATATTTCTCGGTGGAAGAAGATGGCCGAGCTAACCGGATCCATGGTGCTGAGGGCGATTCTGTCGTACCTTTCACGGAGATCGGCTAAAAGCTCCATTGCAGAGTCATAATCGTGCAGCCTATGAATGGCAAGTTTCATCTTTATCGGATTATTAATGTCGTTGGGACTGATGGTAATCCAAACTGCAGGCATACCGGCCCAAATGTTAACAGCTTGTATCTTCCTCCGCATAAGCAAACGGGATTCGTTCGAGAGCGGCTGTGCGTGGCCAAAATCGACAGCTCGCGAAGCAAGACCGATATGTCAGGGTCCGACGTGGTCCTTGCCTCCCGCATCTCCGCCTCGGCTCTCTTCAGTCGGTCCTCGTTCAAGTTCGCATACGCTTGCTCGAGCCTGTGGAAGGAATCTTTAGCGACACGAACCATGCTGATGCGGCGGTTGGAGGAGCGAAGGAGGGTGTTGAATACTAAGAAACAAAAGACAGGATGGGTGGCAAATCGGCCTCCGTGCCGTTGCAATACGTATCTGGCCCAGTAATTAAGCGAGTGATTCGGACGACGGTCGGCAACAACGCTTTGTCGGCTGTGACTCGAGTCGCCCTTTGATTTCAGGCCACCCTTCCCACGGAAAAAGCTTCGGAAATGTTCGAGGAAGAAATCTTCGTGCAAGTTGTCTGCAAAATCCGCACCACGCTCTACTCGGACAAACGGCTGGTCTCCCGCAGTTTGGACCTGCATAACGCACGGCACAGAGTTGCCATGTCGATCCGGATTGGCGTTGACGATGTCGGCCAGAAACGACAGTTTATCGGTCTCGGCGAAGGCAGCCGGTCCATTGAGAGAAACATGCCGGAAGCAGACATCTCACAGACGGCGTCAACTTCCAGGCCGATGGCAGCCGAGTCGGGGACAAGAGTCGCCGGCTCACCAGGGATGGTTGAGTCTGCTCGGGGACAGAGTACGATCTAAATCGCAGGATTCAGCCGCAAAGTGGGGTTGATCGAGTTCACCAGTTCATCGATGCTTCTGAAGCTGTTTTCCTCAAGCCTCGATCAGTGTCCGTGACTATGTGGTCCGTTTGTGTCTTCTCAACGGTCGACGGTTCCTCCTTCGCATGCGGTCCATGATGACGGTCGGAACAGTGGAGCCGTCGGCATACTGCCAGCCATCTATCTCTGCTTGGTTAATTGCGATATCCTCGTAGAGCGGGTTGTTCCTTTGCAGCCATGCCAGGGCAGCTGCCACTCGAGATTTGCGCACTTGAAGCAGGTGTCTGACGTCTGCGGAGCCAGGCTTGCCAGACCGCTCCAAGAGACGTGGATGTTCTCAATGGCCTGCAGTAAGGGATGAGGAAGAACCGTGGCCACAAGATCATCCACTTTGTTCGGGAAGACGACGATGTGTCCTTTCACGTGCTTGCGGTAGCTGATTCCCGAACGGGTCTTGTTGTCGACCGTGAACTTGGTGATATAGCCAAAAGGTGCATGCAGGGCAATGAGTCTCTCTTCAACGGGGGAGAGGTCATCAAGCTCTTCGGGGTACCGATGTTCGCAACCGATGGCCATGTTGTTGACCGAGCAGGCTTTGGGCAGCCGTCCACTGTCGAAGCCGGCGCGACACTCGCGGCACACGTCAACTCTGGCGCCCTCGTGTGACGGAAGGCACGCGCCACACTTCTGGACAGTCTTGGTCGCCTGCAGCATGGAGGGCGACAAGCGATCCCTCCACTGTATGGTGGCGAGTTCGCAAGGCGGTGTCTTCCTATAGCAGAAGACGCAGTGGGAAACCGGCAACGTCCGTTCCTCGGTAAACGCTTGGTAGAAAGATTTAGCAGCCTCTACCTGGAGGGCAACCGGAACTTCGTTGCACCAGGATCTTGTCGATGATGCCTGCTCCTTGACGCGGAAAGTGGCGTTGTAGTGATGCAGTATGGATTCGACAGAGTCTCGTTGAAGTTGAACGGTTTCTCGCATCGGCCGGGGTCTTTGGGGAGCGCCTTGGCTGCGTCGGCGGCGGAGTGAGAGGCGCTTGCTCTTGTCTAGGTCGTTTCGGTGATGGAGTGGCGGGCGGCGGCGTCTGTGCAGCAAATCGGGATTGAGCTTCACGGCGGCGGGTTCGGTCTTCGGCGCGCTGGCGGTCCATATCTCGCAAGACACGGAGGATCTCATCGTGGGGACTCTGGCAAGCGGTGAAGGGCGTTGTGGACCGGCGCCGATAGGACGCCTGCGATTCAAGATCCCTCAAGGTGCGGTGAACCTCTTCGGGTGCGACAGTGGCTGGGTGTTCTCGCGGCATGGTGCTGCGAACGAGAGCTGGGACGAAGTGGGAGGAATGATCTGCTATGGCGCCCAGCAAGAATCCGGCGTTGGAAGATCAGAGGGCTCACGGAGTGCGTAGGTCAGGTCAAGACCCTTGGTCCCGCTGGTTGGTAGAAGAATGGCGGTCACGAAGTGAGGGCGAGCCGCCGACCGGCCGGAGCATGGCCGGAGCGGTCAGGCGGCCCGGGGAGAGGGGCCGGAGCGGGCAGCAGGAAGCAGTGGCTCTGTTTGGCCGGAAGTAGGTGGCAGTGAAGAGTGGCTGGGGAGCGCACGGGGCACCATGCGGTCCGTGTTTACGGAAGGGGCGGAAGGAAGAGCCTTTCGTTCCTCAAGGCCATGGCCGGAGCGGTCAGGCGGCCCGGGGAGAGGGGCCGGAGCGGGCAGCAGGAAGCAGTGGCTCTGTTTGGCCGGAAGTAGGTGGCAGTGAAGAGTGGCTGGGAGCGCACGGGGCACCATGCGGTCCGTGTTTACGGAAGGGCGGAAGGAAGAGCCTTTCGTTCCTCAAGGCCATGGCCGGAGCGGTCAGGCGGCCCGGGAGAGGGGCCGAGCGGGCAGCAGGAAGCAGTGGCTCTGTTTGGCCGGAAGTAGGTGGCAGTGAAGAGTGGCTGGGGAGCGCACGGGGCACCATGCGGTCCGTGTTTACGGAAGGGGCGGAAGGAAGAGCCTTTCGTTCCTCAAGGCACAGGTGGCGGTGAAGAGTGGCTGGTGGGCACGGAGCGGCATGCGGTCCGTGCGTAAGGGTAGAGGATGTGGAGGTGTGGCGAAGGGCGCGGAAGAAGGATCCTTTCGTCTCTTCGTTCCTCAAGGCACAGGAGACCGGCCCCTTTCAGGATCCGCCAATGCCTTGAGGAACGGGACTGAATTTGGTTCCACACTGGCAGGTCTGCTGAGACGATGAGGCTTGCTCCCGGTAGTGTGGCTGCTTGACGCCATTTTACCCCGCCACAACAAGGTGGGTTGAGGGCGGGCGGGGTAAGAACGCGGAGGTAACTTGTAAGGCCATCATCTCGAAGGGCAAAGGAGTCTGAACTGTTCGCGAATCATGCAGTAAAGTGTAACAGTTTGTTAAGAATCGACTCAATGCCTCCGATTGATTACTCAAAGTGGGACAACATCGACACCGATTCGGAGCCAGAGGCATCGCCCCAGCAAGCGCCAGCAGCAAACCCACCCGCCGCCCACGCATGCCTCGCCGCCGATGGGTACATCAGGTTTGAGGGAAACGCACAGCAAGTCGGGGCATGTCGAAGCTGTCATTGTCCGATGTGAGGCCGAGAAACGCAAGTTTCCCCTTTGGTCTGCCACTACAATCCCTGCGAATCATGTCGTGTTTTCGCAGTCGGTGCCGTCCGTCCCAGGGCTCATCGAGGTCCCGCTGGTCCTGGATCGGACGGGGACTCAGTCCGTCAACGAGGCAGACCTCGACAACCAGATTGCTACGTACCTCAATATTGATGCCAACTCCGGGTTTGCACCTCCAGACTGGCAGTCACAAGTTGGCACCGTCGTGGTCGCGCGCAAGGACAGGAAGCCATTTTATCCGCAGCATCTCGAAGGAGTGTGGATGTTCTGCGACCATATCCTGGACCTGTTCGGGAAGGAGACGGGCCGCCGAGGTGGCTTTACAGCCGCCAGGCGTTCGAGGAATGGTGGGTAAATTATTGTGAGGAGCAAAGCGCTTACGTCCAGGGAAGGGAGGGGAGCGAGATCCGGACGACTGGCGTGCGGTCCGGTCACCTTATGAAGTGTAGGACGTCTACGTGCCGCGTTACGACGTGCGAAAGGTCAAACTATAAGGATGGTTAGTATACTAGCACTACTTTTCGAAACCTTGGTCCTTGTATAACCGTCTCGTTTCCGCGGCCAAGTTCTTGAGTCTCTGCATTCCATCAAGAATGGCCTGATCGAGCCCATTGCCAATGAAGTCATGGTGTCTCACGGGATTAAGAAGCTTGATGCCCGAAGCGAGGTGCACCTGGATAGTTGCACATAGAGGCTCGTAAAATCGCACTTGGAGGGTTCACCATTGGTCACACGATTTCCACGCAGCTCCAACAGTACTTCGACGAATGTTTTACCCTGGGCTTTGTAATCAGTGAGAACGAACGCTGGTACAGCGGGCAGTCCACGTCGCGTGCATCTTGCGGATAAGAACTTGAAGTGAGTTAGTCGAATCAAGTGTATGCGACATGGGCCGGATAAGTACTGTCCCCACCGGGAGGGACGGTATCGCCAAGGTCTTCGTCTCCTCGGACTGCAGAAGAATGCCGAGCGGCGGCCCGAAGTGGATGGTCACGTCATCTGCCAAGCAGTATCCCGGGTGATTGGGATCGATTATCACGTCCACGGCAGTAAAGTCAGCCCCATTCACCACCTTCAGGCCAGTGTAGATGTTCTTGTTCACAACCACGGGCATGCCCTGGGCGTAGAAGAAGACGCCGGGGACTTTGCAGGCAGAGTCGTCGCCTTGTCCGATGGTTCGCGCTATGAGGTTTGGAGACAGCGTGCCGTTGCGCCAGGTGTGAGTCGAGACAAAGATACGGATGTGCCGCTTGTTGAAGCGCGCCCAGCCCACAACAGCTTCCATGTTGAGGGCCCACCGGGTGCGGTTCAGCGGCGTTATAGCGCGCAAACCATCGTGGAAGGTGATTTGCGAGCGTCCTACAATGTTGGCATTGAGCAAGCTCAGATCTTCATGGGTCTGGCGCCCGTTACGAACTCGATCCAGGAGTGCACGGAGCTGGGGATCGTTGCGTGCGCGGACTTGGTCTTCGAGGAGCACCACGGTTTTGAACAGATGCCACAATCTGCAGCCGCTGTGGTGAGATATGGTCGCTTGTCGCAAGGGGGTCTCTGTTCGGTCCGGCGGTCTGATGATCAGTAGGCTTGTCTCCGCACGGGGCGAACTGGTAGAAGTCTCCCATCAGTAGAACGACGGGCATGCCGCCAAACGGTTCGTCCGGACAGTCACGGAGTGCCTGCAGGTAATGACTGACGTTGTGCAGAGTGGCTCCTCCCAGCATACTGACCTCGTCAATGACGAGCACCAGCTTCTGTTTCCAGATCCACTTCTTCGCCTCCGAGAAGGGGAGGCGGTTTGTTTGGATCGCGATGGGAATCTAACCCACAGGCCGAGTGGATGGTCGTGCCGCCAATCTGGGCCGCCGAACTGCCCGACGTGCCGGTTATCTGCAGAAGATGCGGCTGGTTCCTCGCCGCGAACACGTCCTTCAGGGCATCGATAATCCTCGACTTTCCCGTGCCACCCGGCCCGCCGGTGTATTGAAGATGCTGACCCGCTGAGTCCGGATTGGCAGTATACTTGTCCAGAAACAGGCAAACGAGTTGAAGGGCCATGGTCTGTAGATAGTTCAGTGTAAAGCTGGCCGCGGCGGTGTGTCCCATCTCCGCGAAGCTAGTTGCCGGACTGACGTCGACAAGCATCCGAGGGCCTCGTTCATTGAGGTCGCTGCCCGGGAGCGCAGCAGGGGACTCCGTATCGCCGTAGCGAGCTAGCGTATCGTCGATGTCGGCGCCATCCGCGGAAAGCATGGTCCCCTGGGAACCACCCTCAATGTCGTCTAGCATCCGAAGATGCAATAGTTGTTGGGCCTTGGCCGCTGCCTGGACATCGTCTCGAGATATGGGAGTTGACACAAGGCGTCACCTTGATCATGGGGCATATTCCGGTACAGATCCTCTTGACGTTGGACAAAGGTTGCTCTTCTCCAGCCGGGTTCTCTTCGCACAGATCGTGTATTAAACCTCCAAGGACGGGGGAGTCTTTTGTGGCGTCCGTGTCCCGCACGGCATTTCGCAAAATCTGGAGAGCTCTGTAGGCCTGACGATGAGCCATCGCTGGAGGCTCTTCTTCGTATCGGCCATCGTCAAGCGGGTACTCAACGTCAATTGTGTCGTCGCCCTCCGACCGACTGGCCCAGAGCTTCGCGTCCTTACGCGCGTCTTCGGCAGACTTTCTCAAAAGACAAATGTTAGAGACGTAGAAACGGAGGCGGGGACAAAGGCCCGCTCGATGCGTCGTCCATATGTCGGTTATATCACCTAGGCTCTCAGAAGTGAAGTTTTCCCAAGGGACGAATAACGCCAAATGTAGGACAGAGTTTCTACACAGAGTGTCAGACGGAGCCAAAACGGTGCCGGGGGTTAGAGCGTACCGCTTAATATAGACTGGGTGATCGTCCTCGTGGTCGTCGCTGATGTATCCTTGGAAGATCGGGACGGCGTACTGGTCGGGCCGTCGAAGCTTTTGCATCCAGCCTTCACAGTCTGAATCCTGGCCATCGAGAAAAATGAGAGTCATCTTCACTCCGACCATTTCGACGCACCAAGTGAATCATTGACATGTAGTCATACAGGCATAAGTCTTGTAGAACATGACCGCGGTAGGCGTACGCCTCCAGGCATAATAGGGTTCGCCCTCCTTGCCTCAGAGGATTGTCTCTGGGGCTGTTCGGCGTCCGTGAGCTCGCCGGCCTGATGGCGGAGATGCGCCCATAGCCGAAAGATTGTCCAGTATAGGGCCGTCAAGTTCAAGAAGGACCAATGCGGCACGTTGGTAAAGTCGGTGTCATATCCAGGAGGTGGTAACAAACCTCGACAGCCGAGAGTTGTCGCTCGGAGAAGATGCGATTTGCCGTTCTCATCAGGAATTGACGGCTTTCGTTCAATACCGCCTGGTGCCTCTCGTCGGGCAGGGCGGGACCTGGCGCGCGAGACGTCGGACGACCGGCCTCGCGAAGTTGGCGGGCAACCTCGGTGGCGAGAGCAATGCGCTTCCACATCGGCGTATCCAGCTTGGTGGCGTAGTTCGTGATGTAGTACACCATGGCCAGGCCCTTGGTCTTGGTCAAGATCATCGAGACGTCGTGGTTGTGGCGAAGGCCGACCGCCAACGACTTGTTATACCGGTTGACGAGTGGATGGTTGCGCCGAATCTGAAGCAAGCCATCCTCTGTGAATCCTGTCTGCTCGACGATCTTCCACGGTGCCTTGAAGCGGCAGGCTGTCCGTCTCTGTTGATCTGCCCCGGTCGATGACCCTTCAAAGAATACTTAAGGCAGGTGTATGTGTGGGAGTGCACCTGGCAACAGTATGCGATAAAATTCGATTCGTCTTCAAAAGCCGCAGTGAGAGCCGAGGTGCTGGTCATGACCTCCTCCACGGGATCGATGGGCTTCCTCTCCTGTCGCACGGCTTTTCCGGCATCTTCATCTAGACACTCATGAAAGACGGAGTCTATATATCGAATCACCTGGGCGCGATATGCTTCTTCCGCGGGATTGGCCATGTCGTCTATCAAGTTCGGTAAGCGCATGTTGCCGTCCAGCCAGAGGAGTCCATGCAAGTGGAGGCTGCCTCGCTCATTCGTTTCCACCGTCGCGTAGTAGTGGCTGATCTTCCCGAAGATCGATTCCCGGCCTGTATTCACATACTTTTCAAAGAATAGGGATATTTCTCGGTGGAAGAAGATGGCCGAGCTGACCGGATCCATGGTGCTCAGGGCGATCCTGTCGTACTTTTCACGGAGATCGGCCAAAAGCTCCTTCGCAGACTCGTAATCGTGGAGCCTATGAATGGCAAGCTTCATCTTTACCGGGTTATTAATGTCGTTGGGACTGATGGTAATCCAGATTGCAGGCATACCGGCGCGGATGTCTAGAGCTTGTATCTTCCTCCGCATAAGTAAACGGGATTCGTTCGAGAGCGGCTGTGCATGGCCAAAGATCGACAGCTCGCGAAGCAAGAGCGATATGTCGGGGTCCGACGTAGTCCTCGTCTCCCGCATCTCCACTTCGGCCCTCTTCAGTCGGTCCTCGGTCAAGTTTGCATAGGCCTGCTCAAGTCTGTGGAAGGAATCTTTAGCGACACGGACCATGCTGATGCGGCGGTTGGTGGAGCGAAGGAGGGTGTTGAATACTAAGAAACAAAACACAGGATGGGTGGCGAATCGGCCTCCATGCCGTTGCAATACGTATCTGGTCCAGTATTGAAGAGAGTGATTCGGACGACGGTCGGCAGCGTCGCTTTGTCGGCTACGACTCGAGTCGCCCTTCGATTTCGGCCGCCCTTCCCACGGAAAAGCTTGGGAAATGTTCGAGGAAGAAATCTTCGTGCAGGTTGTCTGCAAAGTCCGCACCACGTTCTACTCGGACAAACGGCTGATCTCCGTAGTTTGGACCTGCATAACGCATGGTATAGAGCGGCCACGTGGATCCGGATTGGCGTTGGCCATGCCGCCACAAACGACAGCTTATCGGTATCCGCAAAGGCAGCCGGTCCATCAAGAGGAACATGGCGGATGCAGACGTCTCACATATGGTTTCAACTTCCTGGCCGATGGCAGCCGAGTCGGGGACAAGAGTCGCCAGCTCACCAGGAGAGGTCGAGTCTGCTCAGTCGATAGAGTACAGTCCAAGTCGCGAGACTCGTCGACGAAGGTGCCATCGATCGAGCTCACAAGTTCATCGATGCTTCTGAAACTGTTTTCCTCCAAGCCTCGATCAGTGTCCGGGACTATGTGGTCAGTTTGAGTCCTCTCAACGGTCGACGGTTCCTCCCTGCATGCGGTCCATGATGACGGTCGGAACAGTGGAGCCGTCGGCATACCGCCAGCCATCCATCTCTGCCTGGTCGATTGCGATATTCTCGTAAAGTGGGTTGTTCCTTTGCAGCCATGCCAGGGCGGCCGCCACTCGAGATTTGCGCACCTGAAGCAGGTGTCTGACGTCTGCGGAGCCAGGCTTAGCCGAACCGCTCCAAGAGACGTGGATATTCTCAATGGTCTGCAGCAAGGGATGGGGAAGAACGGTGGTAACAAGATCGTCCACCTTGTTCGGAAAGACGACGATATGTCCTTTCACGTGCTTGCGGTAGCTGATTCCGGAACGGGTCTTGTTGTCGACCGTGAACTTGGTGATATAGCCAAAGGGCGCATGCAGGGCAATGAGTCTCTCCTCAACGGGAGAGAGGTCATCAAGCTCGCCAGGGTACCGATGTTCGCAACCGATGGCCATATTGTTGACCGAGCAGGCTTTGGGCAGCCGTCCACCGTCGAAGCTGGCGCGACACTCGCGGCATACGTCAACTCCCGCGCGCTCGTGCGGCGGAAGGCAAGCGCCACACTTCTGGATGGTCCTGGTCGCCTGCAGCAGGGAGGGCGACAATCGACCCCTCCACTGCATGGTTGAGAGCTCGCAAGGTGGGGTCTTTCTATAGCAGAAGACGCAGTGAGAAATGGGCAACGTCCTCTCGTCCGTAAACGCCTGGTAGAACGATCTAGGAGCTGCTACCTGAAGGGCACGTGGAACTTCGTTGCACCAGGATCTTGTTGACGATGCCTGCTCTTTAGAGCGGAAACGGGCGTCATGGTGATGTAGCGCAGACTCGACAGAGTCTCGCTGGAGTTGGACGGTTTCTTGCGTAGGCCCGGGCCTCGTGGGAAGCGCCCCGTCCGTGTGGGCGATGAAGGGCGAAGCGGTTGTTCCGCCCTGGATCGACTCGGTGATGGAGAGGCCGGCGTCTGCGTGTGTCTTTTGGAGGAGCGCGTTGGCTGCGTGGGGGTGGAGTGGAGGTGTCTCCTCTTCTCTGTGTCGTTTCGGCGATGGAGCGGCCGGCGGCTGCGCGTGTCTTTGGAGGAGCGCCTTAGCCGCGTGGGAGGTGGAGTGGAGGTGATAGCCCTCTCAGGTCGTCTCGGTGATGCAGTCGCTGGCAGCTGCGTTTGTCTTCTAGGGAGTGTTTTGGCTGCGTTGGAGGTGGAGTGGAGGCGCTTGCTCTTCTCGGGGTCGTCTCGGGGATGGGTTGTTCGGCTGTTGCGTGTGCGGTATATTGGAATTGAGCTTCACGGCGGCGGGATCGTTCTTCGGCGCGCTGGCGGTCCATATCGTGCAAGACGCGGAGGATCTCGTCGTGGGAACCCTGATAAGCGGTGAAGGTCGTTGATAGGAACGGCGCTGCTGGGATCTCTGCGATTCAAGATCACCCAAAGTGCGGCGAACCTCCTCGGCGAGACCGTGACGGGGTGTTCTCGTGGCATGGTGCACGGTGATGGCTGTGAACAATCGGTACGAGAAAGGAGAGTTGGCCCCGGAGAGTGGGACCGGGGCGGGAGCGGACGGAACGGGCAGCAGGAACAGGAAGGTTGGTGGGAAAAAGAACAGGTGGCGGTGAAGAGTGGCTGGTGGGCACGGAGCGGCATGCGGTCCGTGCGTAGGGGGTAGAGGATGTGGAGGTGTGGCGAAGGACGCGGAAGGAAGAACCTTTCGTTCCTCAAGGCAAAGGCAAAGGAAGAACCTTTCGTTCCTCAAGGAAGAACCTTTCGTTCCTCAAGGCATATCCTCCTCTTCTCGACGATTTGAGGGCATCGTGACCCGCTGTGAAGTCCACTGTGTAGCTGGCTGCGTGGCCTGATAACAGTGGATCGTGCCCTGCGTCTCGCCAGCAAGCTCGTCATCAGAGTCATCAGCAGCAGCGGCGCGCTGATACGCCCGTGGCATCTCTGTGCCCGGCTCGTACGAGTCGCCGTGTGTATGAAGGTATTCCAACGCCTGCCTCGTCATATTAGCGCCGCTGGCAGTGGTGTTGACAGCGACAGCCTTGCCCTGCGTGTGTTGCGTGTAGAATTTGTGCCCGTCAGCGCTGCCGGCGCTGTTGACGGCGGCGGCCTTGTGGCCTCAGCTCGCTCGATGCCCTCAACGACCTCAAATTCCGACTGGTCGCGACGTGTGCTTTTTTGAAGGTTCAACGAGCCCTGTGGCCGGCCTTTGCCGCGTATAGGGAGCGGATCTTGTGGGTCGTCGTCAGGCTCATGCCCTGAGGCTTTTCGCGATGCCAGAACACGTCAACTTCATTCATTTCGAACGGAACGGCGGCGACAGCAGCAGTATTTTTGAGCCGTTTGAAGATATCGTGACGGCACGGCAAACCAAGGCTGCTCTTAAAGCTACAATAAAAGTAGGTATCACAGCAGCCCAGCGGCGGATTTGCCCGATCATTAGTAGCCACGTCAAGCGGCACAGCGCGATATTCAACCCCTATTTTCTGAAGGGCCCAGGCAGAGAGGTTCGGTCGGATTTTTGCGAAGACCGGCTTGAGAGTAGACGTTGATACCTTATATATCGCAATTTGCTGCAAATTGAGTATTTCGTCTGACTGGGAACGCCAAAAGGCCCGAAGACGCTGGAAAACAGAGGTCAAGTCGCCCATCGAGGACCATAGGAACCGCTTCATCGTAGAATGCATGCCCTCTATAATAGAGGTTGTTGTATGCCCGAGGTGCCGGTGCCGGTCAACGAAGCACATCACGAACTTCTCCTTCCAGGGTCGAGCCACGTATTGATAGCGTAATCCACGGCGGCCTGCGGATGGCCGGCTGCTTCGAACGCAGGGACCAGTGTGTTATAGATAGCCTCATTAGGGGCGTTAACGATGCCTGCCCACTCTTTGAGGAAGGCTGTGAACGTAGGGGCTCGGATTGCGCGATCTCCTTCCTTTGTTGCAGCAGGGAAGTGCTTTTTGCACTTGGTAAGAACGTTTTCGTTGATATGCCAGCGGCAGAGCAGGTGAACTACGTGGTGTAATTCTGGGAAAGCAACAACTGCATTCATTAGGGCAAGCTCACGATCTGTGACCATGATCCGCGGCGCCGGAATGCCCTCTTCGGCTGCCAATTGGAGTAGGCATTGCAGAGCCCAGCGGTATTGTGATTCGGCCTCCCCGTTGAGGAAGTGGAGTGTAATATCGCGGGCACAGGAGGGTGGTTGTGGTCTGTACAGGACGGCGATGGCTTGAAACCAGGCGCCCTCGCTGCTCCTCTTAATAATAAGGCGGAAGCCGCAGTCGCATTTGTATGTGGCCTGGTTCGCCCGGCGTTTTGATCTATGGGCGCTGGGGTCAGTAGAATCGCGATGCCCGCCAGCCCGCGAGCAGGTCATGTAGGCGTCGTTATCCCTCCCGATCGTACAATCAGGGCGTGGCCTTGTGCCTTGGCGACTGTATGACAGGCATCTTGGGCGGCCTTCTTTGAATCGAATTCGCGGTGGTACGGATAATCCATTGCGGCGGCGGCGGTAAGTAGTAGGTGTGGAGAGATATCGCGAAAAGCTTCACTTCTAATGCCTTGAGGAACGAAAGGCTCTTCCTTCCGCCCCTTCCGTAAACACGGACCGCATGGTGCCCCGTGCGCTCCCCAGCCACTCTTCACTGCCACCTACTTCCGGCCAAACAGAGCCACTGCTTCCTGCTGCCCGCTCCGGCCCCTCTCCCCGGGCCGCCTGACCGCTCCGGCCATGCTCCGGCCGGTCGGCGGCTCGCCCCTCACTTCGTGACCGCCATTCTTCTACCAACCAGCGGGACCAAGGGTCTTGACCCTGACCTACGCACTCCGTGAGCCCTCTGATCTTCCAACGCCGGATTCTTGCTGGGCGCCATAGCAGATCATTCCCTCCCACTTCGTCCCAGCTCTCGTTCGCAGCACCATGCCGCGAGAACACCCAGCCACTGTCGCACCCGAAGAGGTTCACCGCACCTGAGGATCTTGAATCGCAGGCGTCCTATCGGCGCCGGTCCTTACAACGCCCTTCACCGCTTGCCAGAGTCCCCACGATGAGATCCTCCGTGTCTTGCGAGATATGGACCGCCAGCGCGCCGAAGACCGAACCCGCCGCCGTGAAGCTCAATCCCGATTTGCTGCACAGACGCCGCCGCCCGCCACTCCATCACCGAAACGACCTAGACAAGAGCAAGCGCCTCTCACTCCGCCGCCGACGCAGCCAAGGCGCTCCCCAAAGACCCCGGCCGATGCGAGAAACCGTTCAACTTCAACGAGACTCTGTCGAATCCATACTGCATCACTACAACGCCACTTTCCGCGTCAAGGAGCAGGCATCATCGACAAGATCCTGGTGCAACGAAGTTCCGGTTGCCCTCCAGGTAGAGGCTGCTAAATCTTTCTACCAAGCGTTTACCGAGGAACGGACGTTGCCGGTTTCCCACTGCGTCTTCTGCTATAGGAAGACACCGCCTTGCGAACTCGCCACCATACAGTGGAGGGATCGCTTGTCGCCCTCCATGCTGCAGGCGACCAAGACTGTCCAAGAGTGTGGCGCGTGCCTTCCGTCACACGAGGGCGCCAGAGTTGACGTGTGCCGCGAGTGTCGCGCCGGCTTCGACAGTGGACGGCTGCCCAAAGCCTGCTCGGTCAACAACATGGCCATCGGTTGCGAACATCGGTACCCCGAAGAGCTTGATGACCTCTCCCCCGTTGAAGAGAGACTCATTGCCCTGCATGCACCTTTTGGCTATATCACCAAGTTCACGGTCGACAACAAGACCCGTTCGGGAATCAGCTACCGCAAGCACGTGAAAGGACACATCGTCGTCTTCCCGAACAAAGTGGATGATCTTGTGGCCACGGTTCTTCCTCATCCCTTACTGCAGGCCATTGAGAACATCCACGTCTCTTGGAGCGGTTCGGCAAGCCTGGCTCCGCAGACGTCAGACACCTGCTTCAAGTGCGCAAATCTCGAGTGGCAGCTGCCCTGGCATGGCTGCAAAGGAACAACCCGCTCTACGAGGATATCGCAATTAACCAAGCAGAGATAGATGGCTGGCAGTATGCCGACGGCTCCACTGTTCCGACCGTCATCATGGACCGCATGCGAAGGAGGAACCGTCGACCGTTGAGAAGACACAAACGGACCACATAGTCCCGGACACTGATCGAGGCTTGGAGGAAAACAGCTTCAGAAGCATCGATGAACTGGTGAACTCGATCAACCCCACTTTTGCGGCTGAATCCTGCGATTTAGATCGTACTCTGTCCCCCGAGCAGACTCAACCATCCCCTGGTGAGCCGGCGACTCTTGTCCCCGACTCGGCTGCCATCGGCCTGGAAGTTGACGCCGTCTGTGAGATGTCTGCTTCCGGCATGTTTCCTCTCAATGGACCGGCTGCCTTCGCCGAGACCGATAAACTGTCGTTTCTGGCCGACATCGTCAACGCCAATCCGGATCGACATGGCAACTCTGTGCCGTGCGTTATGCAGGTCCAAACTGCGGGAGACCAGCCGTTTGTCCGAGTAGAGCGTGGTGCGGATTTTGCAGACAACTTGCACGAAGATTTCTTCCTCGAACATTTCCGAAGCTTTTTCCGTGGGGAAGGGTGGCCCGAAATCAAAGGGCGACTCGAGTCACAGCCGACAAAGCGTTGTTGCCGACCGTCGTCCGAATCACTCGCTTAATTACTGGGCCAGATACGTATTGCAACGGCACGGAGGCCGATTTGCCACCCATCCTGTCTTTTGTTTCTTAGTATTCAACACCCTCCTTCGCTCCTCCAACCGCCGCATCAGCATGGTTCGTGTCGCTAAAGATTCCTTCCACAGGCTCGAGCAAGCGTATGCGAACTTGAACGAGGACCGACTGAAGAGAGCCGAGGCGGAGATGCGGGAGGCAAGGACCACGTCGGACCCTGACATATCGGTCTTGCTTCGCGAGCTGTCGATTTTGGCCACACAGCCGCTCTCGAACGAATCCCGTTTGCTTATGCGGAGGAAGATACAAGCTGTTAACATTTGGGCCGGTATGCCTGCAGTTTGGATTACCATCAGTCCCAACGACATTAATAATCCGATAAAGATGAAACTTGCCATTCATAGGCTGCACGATTATGACTCTGCAATGGAGCTTTTAGCCGATCTCCGTGAAAGGTACGACAGAATCGCCCTCAGCACCATGGATCCGGTTAGCTCGGCCATCTTCTTCCACCGAGAAATATCCTTATTCTTTGACAAGTACGTGAACACGGGCCAGGAATCGATCTTTGGAAAGATTAGCCACTACTACGCCACGGTGGAAACGAACGAGCGAGGCAGCCTCCACTTGCATGGACTCCTCTGGCTGGACGGCAACATGCGGTTACCGAACCTGGTAGACGATATGGCCAATCCTGCGGAAGAAGGATACCGTGCCCAGGTGACCCGGTACGTAGACTCTGTCTTTCACGAGTGTTTAGATGAAGATGCTGGAAAACCCTGCGACAACAGAGGAAGCCCATCCATCCCGTGGAGGAGGTCATGACCAGCACCTCGGCTCTCACTGCGGCCTTCGAAGACGAATCCAACTTCATCGCGTACTGTTGCCAAGTGCACTCCCACACGTACACCTGCCTCAAGTATTCTCTGAAGGGGATCGTTGAACAGGGTGCAGATCCACAGAGACGGACGGCCTGCCGCTTCAAAGCACCGTGGAAGATCGTCGACGAGACAGGGTTCACAGAGGACGGCTTGCTTCAGATCCGGCGCAACCATCCACTCGTCAATCGGTATAACAAGTCATTGGCGGTCGGCCTTCGTCATAACCATGACGTCTCGATGATCTTGACCAAAACCAAGGGCCTGGCCATGGTGTACTACATCACGAACTACGCCACCAAACTGGATACGCCGATGTGGAAACGCATTGCTCTTGCCGCCGAGGTTGCCCGCCAACTTCGCGAAGCCGGTCGTCCGACGTCTCGCGCACCAGATCCCACCCTGCCCGACGACAGGCAGCAGGCCGTATTGAATGAAAGCCGTCAATTCCTGATGAGAACGGCAAATCGGATCTTCTCCGAGCGACAACTCTCGGCCGTAGAGGTCTGTTACCATCTCCTTGGATATGACACCGACTTTACCAACGTGCCGCATTGGTCTTTCCTGAACCTGACGGCGCTCTATTGGGCAATCTTTCGGCTATGGGCATCTCCGCCATCAGGCCGGCGAGCTGACGGACGCTGAACAGCCCCGGAGACAATCCGTCTGAGGCAAGGAGGGCGAACCCTTTATACCTGGACGCGTACGCGTACCGGGGCCATGTTCTACGAGACCTATGCCTGTACGACTATATGTCAATGATTCATTTGATGCGTCGAAAAGTCGGAGTGAAGACGACTCACATTTTCTCGATGGGCAGGATTCCGACTGTGACGGCTGGATGCAAAAGCTTCGACGGCCAGACCAGTACGCCGTCCCGATCTTCCAAGGATACATCAGCGACGACCATGAGGACGATCACCCAGTGTATATTAAGCGGTACGCTCTAACCCCCCAGCAACATTTTGGCCCCGTCTGACAGCCTGTGCAGAAATTCGGTCCTACATTTGGCGTTATTCGTCCCTTGGGAAAACTTCGTTTCTGAAAGCCAAGGCGATATAACCGACATATGGACGAGGCATCGAGCGGGCCTTTGTCCCCGCCTCCGTTTCCATGTCTCCAACATTTGTCTTTTGAGAAAGTCTGCCGAAGACGCGCGTAAAGACACGAAGCTCTGGGCCAGTCGATCGGAGGTGACGACACAATTGACGTTGAGTACCCACTGGACGACGGCCACTACGAGGATGAGCCTCCAGCGATGGCTCAACATCAGGCTTACACAGCTCTACTCCAGATTTTGCGGAATTCCGTGCAAAATACTGACGCCACAAAGGACTCCTCGTCCTCTTGGATCTAATACGCGACGTGTAAGGGAACCTCGCTGGAGGACAACCTTTTGTCCAACGTCAGGAGGATCTGTACCTCAATATACCCCACGACCAAGGCGACACCTTGTGCCAATTCCCAATATTATCTCGAGATGATGTCCAAGCAGCAGCCAAGGCCCAAGACCTGTTGCATCTTCGAATGCTGGACGACATCGAGGGTGGTTCTCAGGGCACCGTACTATCCACGAATGGCGCCGACATCGACGATACCCTAGCTCGCTACGGCGATATGGACACCGCCGCTGCGCTCACAGGCAGTGACCTCAATGAACAAGGCCCTCGAATGCTCGTTGACGTCACTCCGGCGACTAGCTTCGCGGAGATGGGGCACACCACCGCAGCCACCTTCACACTGAACTATCTACAGACCATGGCCCTTCAACTCGTTTGCGCATTTCTGACAGGTATACGGCTAATCCGGACTCAGCTGGCCAACATCTCCAGTATACCGGCGGGCCGGGTGGCACGGGAAAGTCGAGGATCATCGATGCCCTGAAGGACGTGTTCGCGGCGAGAAACCAGCCACATCTTCTGCAGATAACCGGCACATCGGGCAGTTCGGCGGCCCAGATTGGCGGCACGACGATCCACTCGGCCTGTGGGTTAGATTCCCATCGCGATCCAAACAAACCGCCTCCCCCTTCTCGGAGGCGAAGAAATGGATCTGGAAACAGAAGCTGGTACTCGTGATTGACGAGGTCAGTATGCTTGGGGGGGCCACTCTGCACAACGTCAGTCGTCATCTCCAGGCACTCCGTGACTGTCCGGACGAGCCATTTGGTGGGATGCCTGTAGTTCTGCTGATGGGAGACTTCTACCAGTTCGCCCCTGTGCGGGAAACAAGCCTCCTGATCAATAGACCGCCGGACGGAACCCAGGCACCTCTGCGACAAGCGACCGTCTCTCACCATAGCGGCTGTAGATTGTGGCATCTGTTCAAAACCGTTGTGCTCCTCGAAGACCAGGTCCGCACGCGACGATCCCCAACTCGGCGCACTCCTGGATCGAGTTCGTGACGGGCGGCAGACACGGCAAGACCTCGACTTGCTCAACGCCAACATTGTAGGACGCTCCCAAATCACCTTCGACAATGGTTTGCGTGCTATAACGCCGCTGAACCGCACCCGCTGGGCCCTCAACATGGAAGCTGTCGTAGGCTGGGCGCGCTTCAACAAGCAACATATCCGTATCTTTATCTCGACTCACACCTGGCGCAACGGCACGCTTTCTCCAAACATCATAGCACAAACCATTGGACAAGGTGATGACTCTGTCTGCAAAGTCCCTGGTGTCTTTTCTACGCCCAAGGTATGCCGGTGGTTGTGAACAAGAACATCTATACTGGCTTGAAAGTTGTCAACGGAGCCGAGTTTACTGCCGTGGACGTTATACTCGATCCCAATCACCCAGGATACTACTTGGCAGATGACGTGACAATCCACTTCGGGCCACCGCTAGGCATTCTTCTGCAGTCTCAAGAGACGAAAACGTTGGCGATACCGTCCCTGCCGTTGGGGACCGTGCTCATCCGACCCATGTCACATACGCTCGATTCGACTAACTCTCACTTCAAATTCTTGTCAGCAAGATGCACACGACGTGGATTACCCGTGGCACCAGCGTTTGTTCTTACCGATTACAAGGCCCAGGGTAAAACGTTCGTCGAAGTACTTTTGGAGCTACGTGGAAATCGTGTGACCAATGGGGAACCCTCCAAATGCAATTTTACGAGCCTCTATGTGCAACTGTCCAGGTGCACTACGCTTCGGGGCATCAAGCTTCTCGGTCCCGTGAGACAGCATGATTTCATTGGCAATGGGCTGGATCAGGCCATAGTTGATGGAATGCAGAGACTTAAGAACTTGGCCGTAGAAACGAGACGAATGTACGAGAATTAGGTTGCGAAAGATAGGCATACTGACCAAGTTCGGGAACGGGGTCCTTAGCACTGCCGGGCGCGTTGATACTTGCCGCCGGCCAACTAATGCTTTAGTCCGTTCCTCAAGGCATTGGCGGACCCTGGAAGGGCCGGTCTCCTGTCCTGCTGAGGTGCCTTGAGGAACGAAGAGACGAAAGGATCCTTCTTCCGCCACCTCCGTCAGCTTGGGCCACTTAGCGCCCCGTGCCTTGTGCCTTGAGGAACGAAGAGACGAAAGGATCCTTCTTCCGCCCCCTCCGTAAGCTCGGGCCACTTAGCGCCCCGTGCGAGCTGCGCCAGCCTTCACCGCCACCTTCCACTCGGCTTCATGCCTTTCCCGAGCCACACAACAACTCTCCCTCTTTTTCCGTTCTCGCCTCCACCGCCCGCGTTGACCGCTCCGGCTCCGGCCCCGCCGGCCCCGCTGCCCGGCCCCGCTACCCGGGCCGGAGCCCTACTTCGACCATGGTCCAGCCCGGCCCCCCGATTGTCCATTTGGATACGGATCCTGTGCTGGGAGACGGTCTACCCCAGAAATCGACGTCATGGGGCCCTTGTCGTATGGGCAAGGACGCCATCCACTCCGCCAAGAACCGTACAACACATGATTGGCCCTCCCGTTTTGCGGGATGCTTCTAACCCTAAGCCCCTCACTTCGTAACCGCCGCCATCCCCTGCGATAGCGGAGCCATGAACCCGACGTCTCCGTCTGCCCATCTATCCTTCACGCAAGCACCTCTGAGCTTCGGCAGACTACCCCGTCCATGAGCATTCGAAACCTTTGCTGAGTTTCTCGATCACATGTCGTGGTCGCCGTCTTGCTCCCAGGTGCCAGTAATAGACTGTTTCTTTCCTTCTTCCATGCACTCGTTCGGAACCATCCCCTGCACCATGCCGCGAGAACACCCAGCCACGGTCTCACCCGAAGAGGTTCGCCGCACCTTAAGGGATCTTGAATCGCGCCGGTCCTATCAGCGCCGGTCACAGACTGTCAGAGTTCCCCATGACGAGATCCTCCGTGTCTTGCACGATATGGATCGCCGGCGCGCCGAAGACCAAACCCGCCGCCGTGAAGCTCAATACCAATATGCCGCACACACGCAGCCGCCAGCCACTCCATCACCAAAACGACCTAGAGAAGAGCAAGCACTTCCCACTCCACCGCCCACGCAGCCAAGGCGCCCCAAAAGGCCCCGGCCGATGCGAGAAACCGTTCAACTCCAGCGGGACTCTGTCGAGTCCACTCTACATCACTATGACGCCTGTTTCCGCGTCAAGGAGCTTGCGTCATCAACGCGATCCTGGTGCCACGAAGTTCCACTTGCCCTTCAGGTTGAGGCCTCCAAGTCTTTCTACCAAGCGTTTACGGATGAGAGGACGTTGCCGGTCTCCACTGCGTCTTCTGCTACAGGAAGACATCGCCTTGCGAACTCACCACCATGCAGTGGAGGGGTCGTCTGTCACCCTTGCTGCTACAGACGGCCATGGCTCTCCAGGAGTGTGATGCGTGCCTTCCGTCGCACGAGGGCGCCGGAGTTGACGTGTGCCGCGAGTGTCGCGCCAGCTTCGACAGTGGGCGGCTGCCTAAGGCCTGCTCGGTCAACAACATGGCCATCGGTTGTGAGCACCGGTACCCCGAAGAGCTTGATGACCTCTCTCCCGTCGAAGAGAGACTCATTGCCCTGCATGCACCTTTTGGCTATATCACTAAGTTCACCGTCGACAACAAGACCCGTTCGGGAATCAGTTACCGCAAGCACGTGAAAGGACATATTGTCGTCTTTCCGAACAAAGTGGACGATCTCGTGGCCACGGTTCTTCCTCATCCCTTGCTGCAGGCCATCGAGAACATTCACGTCTCTTGGAGCGGTTCGGCTAAGCCTGGCTCCGCAGACGTCAGAAACCTGCTTCAGGTGCGCAAATCTCGAGTGGCAGCTGCCTTGGCATGGCTACAAAGGAACAACCCGCTTTATGAGGGTATCGCAATCAACCAAGCAGAGATGGACGGCTGGCAGTATGCCGACGGCTCCACTGTTCCGACCGTCATCATGGACCGCATGCGAAGAGAGGAACCGTCGACTGTTGAGAAGACACAAACGGACCACATAGTCCCGGACACCGATCGAGGCTTGCAGGAAAACAGCTTTAGAAGCATCGATGAACTGGTGAACTCGATCGATCCTACTTTCATCGCCGAATCTTGCGATTTGAACTGTACTCTGTCGACCGAGCAGACTCAACCCTCTGGGAAGGGGCGGCCCGAAATCGAAGTGCGACTCGAGTCACAGACGACAAGGCGGCCCTGCCGACCGTCGTCCGAATCACTCGCTTAATTACTGGGCCAAATACGTATTGCAACGGCATGGAGGCCGGTTCGCCACCCATCCTGTCTTTTGTTTCTTAGTATTCAACACCCTCCTCCGCTCCTCCAACCGCCGCATCAGCATGGTTCGTGTCGCTAAAGATTCCTTCAACAGGTTTGAGCAGGCCTATGCGAACTTGACCGAGGACCGACTGAAGAGGGCCGAGGCGGAGATGCGGGAGACAAGGACTACGTCGGACCCCGACATATCGCTCTTGCTCCGCGAGCTGTCGATTTTGGTCATGCACAGCCGCTCTCAACGAATCCCGTCTGCTTATGCGGAGGAAGATCCAAGCTCTGGACATTTGGGCCGGTATGCCTGCAATCTGGATTACCATCAGTCCCAACGACATAAATAATCCGGTAAAGATGAAGCTTGCCATTCATAGGCTCCATGATTATGAGTCTGCAAAGGAGCTTTTGGCCGATCTCCGTGAAAGGTACGACAGAATCGCCCTCAGCACCATGGATCCGGTCAGCTCGGCCATCTTCTTCCACCGAGAAATATCTCTATTCTTTGACAAATACGTGAACACAGGCCAGGAATCGATCTTCGGGAAGATCAGCCACTACTACGCCACGGTGGAAACGAACGAGCGAGGCAGCCTCCACTTGCATGGACTCCTCTGGCTGGACGGCAACATGCGGTTACCGAACCTGATGGACGACATGGCCAATCCCGCGGAAGAATCGTATCGTGCCCAGGTGATCCGATACATAGACTCCGTCTTTCATGAGTGCCTAGATGAAGATGCCGGAAAAGCCGTGCGACAATAGAGGAAGCCCATCGAACCCGTGGAGGAGGTCATGAGGAGCACCTTGGCTCTCACTTCGGCCTTTGAAGACGAATCCAATTTCATCGCGTACTGTTGCCAAGTGCACTCCCACACATACACCTGCCTTAAGTATTCTCTAAAGGGGGGTCATCGAACAGGGGGGCAGATCAACAGAGACGGACAGCCTGCCGCTTCAAGGCACCGTGGAAGATCTTCGAGGAGACAGGCTTCACAGAGGATGGCTTGCTTCAGATCCGGCGCAACCATCCACTCGTCAACCGGTACAACAAGTCGTTGGCGGTCGGCCTTCGTCATAATCACGACGTCTCGATGATCTTGACCAAAACCAAGGGCCTGGCCATGGTGTACTACATCACGAACTACGCCACCAAACTGGATACGCCGATGTGGAAGCGCATTGCTCGCCACCGAGGTTGCCCGCCAACTCCGCGAAGCCGGTGGTGCGAGGTGTCGCGCGCCAGGTCCCACCCTGCCCGACGACAGGCAGCAGGCAGTTTTAAACAAGAGCCGTCAGTTCCTGATGAGAACGGCAAATCGGATCTTCTCCGAGCGACAACTCTCGGCCGTCGAGGTCTGTTACCACCTCCTTGATATGACACCGACTTTACCAACGTGCCGCATTGGTCGTTCCTGAACTTGACGGCCCTCTACTGGACAATCTTTCGGCTATGGGCACATCTCCGCCACCAGGCCGGCGAGCTGACGGACGCTGAACAGCCCCCGGAGACCATCCCTCTGAGGCAAGGAGGGCGAACGCTTCTATGCTTAGATGCGTACGCCTACCGGGGCCATGTTCTACGGGACTTATGCCTGTATGACTACATGTCGATGATTCATTTGGTGCGTCGAAAGGGTCGGAGTGAAGATGAATCTCACATTTTTCTCGATGGGCAGGATTCCGACTGTGACGGCTGGATGCAAAAGCTTCGACGGCCCGACCAGTACGCCGTCCCGATCTTCCAAGGATACATCAGCGACGACCATGACGACGATCACCCAGTGTATATTAAGCGGTACTCTCTAACCCCCCGGCACCGTTTTGGCTCCGTCTGACGGCCTGTGCAGAAATTCTGTCCTACATTTGGCGTTATTCGTCCCTTGGGAAAACTTCATTTCTGAGAGCCAAGGCGATATAACCGACATATGGACGACGCATCGAGCGCGGCTTTGTCCCCGCCTCCGTTTCTACGTCTCCAACATTTGTCTTTTGAGAAAGTCTGCCGAGGACGCGCGTAAAGACGCGAAGCTCTGGGCCACTCGATCGGAGGTGACGACACAATTGACGTCGAGTACCCACTTGACGATGGCCGCTACGAAGAGGAGCCTCCAGCGATGGCCCATCGTCAGGCCTACAGAGCTCTACTCCAGATTTTGCGAAATGCCGTGCAAGATACAGACGCCACGAAAGACTCCCCCGTCCTTGGAGGTTTAATACGCGACCTGTGCGAAGAGAACCCGGCTGAAGAAGAACAGCCTTTTGTGCTACGTCAGGACGATCTATACCGGAATATACCCCATGATCAAGGTGACGCCTTGTGCCAATTTCCAATCTCTCGAGACGATGTCCAAGCAGCGGCCAAAGCCCAACGACTATTGCATCTTCGGATGCTGGATGATATCGAGGCTGGTTCTCAGCGCACCGTACTGTCCGCGAATGGCACCGACATTGACGATACCCTAGCTCGTTACGGCGATATGGAGTCCGCCGCTGCGCTCCCGGGTAGTGACCTCGATGAACAAGGCCCTCGGATGCTTGTCGACGTCAGTCCGGTCACTAGCTTCGTGGAGATGGGACGCACCACCGCCGCTAGCTTTACACTGAACTATCTACAGACCATGGCCCTTCAACTCGTTTGCGTATTTCTGGACAAGTATACTGCCGATCCGGACTCAGCTGGTCAGCATCTTCAATATACCGGCGGGCCGGGAGGCACGGAAAGTCAAGGATTATCGATGCCCTGAAGGGCGTGTTCGCGGCGAGAGACCAGCCACATCTTCTGCAGATAACCGGCACATCAGGCAGTTCGGCGGCCCAGATTGGCGGCACGACGATCCACTCGGCCTGTGGGTTAGATTCCCATCGCGATCCAAACAAACCGCCTCCCCCCTTCTCGGAGGCGAAGAAATGGATATGGAAACTGAAGCTGGTACTCGTGATTGACGAGGTCAGTATGCTGGGAGGAGCCACTCTGCACAACGTCAGTCGTCACCTGCAGGCACTCCGTGACTGTCCGGACGAGCCGTTTGGTGGGATGCCTGTCGTTCTACTGATGGGAGACTTCTACCAGTTCGCCCCCGTGCGGGAAACAAGCCTCCTGATCAACAGACCGCCGGACCGAACACAGACCCCCCTGCGACAAGCCACCATCTCTCACCACAGCGGCTGCAGATTGTGGTACATGTTCAAAACCGTTGTGCTCCTCGAAGACCAAGTCCGCGCACGCAACGATCCCCAACTCCGCGCACTCCTGGATCGAGTCCGTAACGGCCGGCAGACCCAGCAAGATCTGAGCTTGCTCAATGCCAACATTGTAGGACGCTCCCAAATCACCTTCCATGACGGTTTGCGTGCTATAACGCCGCTGAACCGCACCCGGTGGGCCCTCAACATGGAAGCCGTCGTGGGCTGGGCGCGCTTCAACAGGCAGCATATCCGTATCTTTGTCTCGACTCACACCTGGCGCAACGGCACGCTTTCTCCAAACATCGTAGCGCGAACCATAGGACAAGGTGACGACTCTGCCTGCAAAGTCCCCGGCGTCTTCTTCTACGCTCAGGGCATGCCTGTGGTTGTGAACAAAAACATCTACACGGGTTTGAAAGTGGTGAATGGGGCGGACTTTACTGCCGTGGACGTAATACTCGATCCCAATCACCCAGGATACCACTTGGCGGATGACGTGACCATCCACTTCGGGCCGCCGCTCGGTATTCTTCTGCAGTCCGAGGAGACGAAAGCCTTGGCGATACCCTCCCTCCCGGTGGGGACGGTTCTCATCCGCCCCATGTCACATACACTTGATTCGACTAACTCTCACTTCAAATTCTTGTCGGCAAGATGCACGCGACGTGGATTGCCCGTCGTACCGGCGTTCGTTCTCACTGATTACAAAGCCCAGGGTAAAACCTTCGTGGAGGTACTGTTGGAGCTGCGTGGAAATCGTGTGACCAATGGTGAACCCTCCAAGTGCGATTTTACGAGCCTCTATGTGCAACTGTCCAGGTGCACCTCGCTTCGGGGCATCAAGCTTCTTGGTCCCGTGAGGTACCATGATTTCATTGGCAATGGGCTGGATCAGGCCATACTTGATGGAATGCAGAGACTCAAGAACTTGGCCGCGGAAACGAGACGGTTATACGAGGCCAAGGTTTCGAAAAGTAGTGGCAGTATACTAACCATCCCGATAGTTTGACCCTTTCGTACGTCGTAGCCACGATCGGCCAGCTTCTACTCGATCTGCGGTGCTGTCGACTAACCAAGCGTATCCCTTCACCGCCGACCAAGCATGGCTGCTGACATGTCCATCATATGCGACTCCATCCCCTCTGCTTTACCCTGCTCCATCGCGACCATCATTTGACTCATCGCCGTCCCACTTGTCCCGCTCGGAGCTCGACCGTACACGGACTCGGCAAACATCCGAAGCTGCATCGGGAATCGGGAATCCCCATATTGCTCGATGATGTCGCTCTTTTCCACCGCGCTTCGTAGGTCGTGCCATTGCGATGGGGTCATACCGAGTGTCTCACACTCTTTCTTCTTTGCATCCCACCACGGCGGCAGTATACCGGGACAACGCTCGACGCGCTCCAGGAAACGCTTGAAGCCACGCAACCCGTTGGCGGCACCACCATATATGCTATCCGCGTCTGCTTCGCCTTCAATGTTGTACATGTCCTCAACGCGCAGTCGGTAGGCGTCGATCAGCAGCCCGTAGACATCTCTTTCCGATCGATCATGCAGCCAAGTGCGATTTTCAAGACGCGTGAAGGGGCGGATGACGCCCTGTTCCAACCCCTTCGGAGGCGATGAATTTCCCGTTGTAGGCCCATCTTGGAACGATGTCGTGGCGTCGGCCTGTTTGCCACAAACCTTCTTATGGACCTTCCAGTCTGCCTTCTGGCAATCCCTGGAGCAGTACGGCGTGGTGGAACATTTCGCGCACCTCTTGAGGAGGGCAACTTCAGGCGGCGACTTCTTGCAGCTATTGCACTCAAGGGCCATGATGACCTAATTCCGATGACCAATTCGTTGAAGGTTGCTTGTGTGAAGAGGCTGAATCAATTTGAAGCTCATTTGTGAACAGGTAAGGTGCTGTAGCGGGTCCAAGCAGCCGCACTACCACCTCTCTTCTCCAACAGACTTGTTTTTATAAAAACAACCCGAATGCTCGCGCTCGGCTATGCCCAACTCTCGTCCCGTTCCTCAAGGCATTGGCGGACCCTGGAAGGGGCCGGTCTCCTGTGCACACAAAAATGCGGTATCGGCGCTGCCCGCGATCTGCGCCACATTTTGTTGTACGTTCAGCAAAATGTGTTGTACGGATAACTACCCATGCTTACCCCCCCTTCTGCTCACCCCTTATGCTCCGCAAAAATGTTGCCGCTCCATACAAATTGGACCAACTTCACTTATACAGAATCTACTCAATTTTAAAGCTTTTGACAAACAGTCACCTGTAACGGGTATAGAAATGACTGAACTTACATTTTGTGAAGTCAGCTGATGACCATAGGTGTCGTGACTCGTGACACCCCGGCATCGCGAAATGGCAATTTCGACCCCTAATCTCCTCCTGCCTCCTTTGCTTTCCACTCTTGCTCATCCTCCACCACCTGTCACAAATGGCTCCAAAAAGGCCTCGTTCCATCTATACAGAGAACGTGATGGCTGAGGCAATCCTCGATGTCACTGATAACGGTCTGTCGCAGCGCCAGGCTTCTCAGAAATGGGGGATACCCCAGAGTACTATTTCCAGCAGAATGCGAGGTCAGTCGGCATTAACCGACCAGGAACAACCTGGAAAACTCCTATCCAGAGACCAGGAGGCCAACTTGGTTGCATGGACTCTTCGCCAAGAATCTCTGGGTTACGCTCCGTCCCAGAGTCAAATCCGCGCCTGCGTTGTTGCCGTTCTGAAACAGCAAGGCTGCGACTCAAGATTGGGACGTCATTGGGTAGAAAAGTTCATTCAACGCCATCCAGAACTTAGAAGCAAGGTCGGTAGGCGTCAGGAAGCCAACAGATTCGACTCATTTACTCCCAAAGCAGTGCACTGGTACTTTGACGTCAGGGAGAAGGAGTACGGGTGGATCAAGCCGGAGAACACCGTGAATGTTGATGAAGGGGGGATTATGTCGGGTTTTGGTATGCAATCAACTCTCCATAGGCGATATAAGCTAATACAATTTCTTTGCTAGGTCTGGACAGTCTGGTGGTTGGAAGTTCGGACCCTAAACGGAAGACTCTTCTCAAGGGACCCCAGTCCCGCAGCTGGACCACTTTATAGAGGCCATCACCGCCGACGGGCGCGCCTTGACTCCTGGCATCATATTTAAGGGCAAAGATCTCCAGGCACAGTGGTTTAAGGACGAGTTTCGAGAATTTGCGGATTGGAACTACATAACTTCACCAAATGGATGGACGGACAACCACATTGCCGTCGAATGGCTTGAGGAAGTCTATTTGCCTCAGACGCGACCTGACGACGACTCTGAGGCCAGGCTTATCATTCTGGATGGACATGGGAGTCATGCAACGGTTCGTACTTTGTTTTTACGGCGATGAGGCCCTGCTGATTTGACGACAGAATAAGTGGATGGCTACGTGCTTTCTGAACAATGTCTACTGTTGTTATCTTCCATCTCACTGTTCTCGTAGCCTCCAGCCATTAGAAAACGTTGTTTTCAATGCTATAAAGACAGCCTACCGGAAGGAGCTTGACAGACTGGCTTCTTTGACGGATTCCACGCCTGTTGACAAGGTCAATTTTATACGTGCGTATGCCACGGCACGTCAAACGGGAATGACAACAAGAAACATCTTGTCCGGTTGGAGAACCACTGGAAATTGGCCAATCTCGCGTTCCAAGGCGTTGGGGCATCCTGAGATCCAAGGAGACAAAGTTACGGCATCCCGGAACATAGGCCATTTTGGACTCTGACGACACCCCGAAATCTAGCCGCCATATTCGTGATCTTGGCAAGAACAGAACACCTACGACTCGGAGGCGATATGCCAAGACAGCGAAAGGCTGGGAAACTCAAGAACAGACACTAGCAGAACATGGTAGTAAAATTGCTAGGCTGGAGGAGGAAGTGGACAGGCTGAAGAGAGGAAGAAAGAGAAGAGCGATCCCTAACCCAAATAGACGCTTCATGCGTCTCGCCGAAGCTTTGGCGGCCGGTGAGGCCGTCCCCGAAATTGGGAGTCCAAAGAAAGCCGTTGTGGTGGATTGCGACTGGTTAGAGGAGGTGGTGGAGTCGGAGACGGAGACAGCTTCGGTGATTGAGGTCAACGTATCTGGGCCTCCGCAGCGCACCACGCGACAGGGTCGCGTCATAAAAAGACCAAGAACCAATTAGTGTGTTCAATTCTCATTCAAATGATGTATCTTTTATATTTATATGTACATAGTTCGCCGAAATATGAGCAGTTCAAAAATCAGATTTTGGGTGAGGTTTGTCTCATTTGGCGGAGCATAAGGGGTGAGCAGAAGGGGGTAAGCATGGTACCCCTTTGTTTTCCGGACTTTGTAATCCTGGATTCTTACTTTCTCGGACGTTTTCAGACCCTTCGCACAGTGGTGCACACTCACAAAGAAACTTTGCAGAAAAGGCATATGATGTAGTAATGGGGTAGTTGCATCGTATTTCGTGTCTCTGTCTTCCTCTCTTTCTGTCCTAAACTCGTAGTATATGTATATGGTTAAGGCAGGCTGGGGCCCCAGCCTCTCGACTGGAGACGTTCCAGTCTTTAATAGGAGCTTTCAGCCTCCTCGTTAGACGCGGTTGTCAGCTCCCTTGTTGGCGTAGCTGCCCATGGGTGACCTGGCTAACTCGACCAAGAGACGTTCTTCGCAACACACACAATGTATCGATTGATGATACTCGCATTGGCAAACATTTTCTTAATCCAAGCATTAGGTTTCCAATGAGAAGTTTTAAATTTAGTAAAAGTGTTCAACTTCTCAAGGCAAAGGGCAATTTAGGGTTAAAGGATGGCAATTGCTACACCGGCATGAACAAATGGCTACACCGGCATGACTCTTACACCGGCATGACTTTTACGGCCTCTGATTGGTCTATCCCTTGTTGTTAGTGCATTTGGATTCTGCCAACAGCTCCCGTTGTACCCCGGGGCTTTACTCTGCAAATTGCGACGCCACGCATCTTCGCCAGCCAGCTATCACGCTAATTACTCCTTCGTTGCGAAGCCTACTGAGAATAATTGTTCCCGACTTTGCAAAGCCACAGGACTGCAGGAGCAGTAGTGTTTCGGACTCCTTGCTGAGACCAACACTCAAACACAAGCTGTATCAGACATCGCCACAGCCTCGTTTTCAAGGCTATCTGCACCACAAACCAGCTCTTTCCCTTGTACTGAAGTAGTCCCCCTCTTTCTCTCTTTCATCGTCGAATCGACTGCCCTGTTAACCATGTTCTGCTCCGTGCGTGCGACACTTTTCCTATCGCGATCAAGACCGCCAATTCGGCATTAGTTATGTCCCAACCTGGCTTTGGATCTAACTCGGTAAGAAACCGACGACGACGGAGCTACCAATCACGCCCTCGAAAACGACAGCGGCAGAACCAGTCTGATAGTTCAAGACCACCTTCGTCTAGTAGCATAGGGACGAGCATTGGCCAGCAGCGGCAGGCGAAGAAGTGAGTGGGAGCTGCTTAACAGCGACGAGGAGGCTCTTCCTTCTATAGTAGTTAGATAATAGAGACGTAGATAGCTGTCCCTAAGGGTGGACTAGAATTGACATTATTTCGTGTTGCAAACTAGACTTCATTTTAGTGCTCGCGGCTCGCCTCAGTTGAAGATGGGGCCTTGTTAAGAGATTTGGCTTCACCGCCTTCACGCGGATGTACCTGTGGATCAAGGAACGAATGGAGCGAATCAGAGGCTGTAAAAGTCATGCCGGTATAAGAGTCATGCCGGTGTAGCCATTTGTTCATGCCGGTGTAGCAATTGCCTAAAGGATAGGTATGTCGTATAGGCGGGATGGCTCCGGACAGACAGGTTCAGACAGACATATTGCAGGGATTATCGCGCTAAGCATGGGTTAAAAGCCATCGCGCCTTGACTACAACCTGAACGGGAATAATCGTTCATCGCCCCTTGCTAGGGTGCGCGTCGCAATAAGAATCGCGTTGTTCAGGTTCAATGGAGATCCAGCATCTCGTCCGACGCGAACGCGAACGCGATGGAGATCCAGTACCGCGACAGCCTCCCCGATGATGTCCGCTCCGGCTTCGACAAAGCTGTAGAAGCCCTACCGCAAGAGCATCTCCGCGCTCCTGTTACCGGTGACGAAGTGAACAGCCCCGAGGAAGCCCTTCACTGGTTCCAAAACTATGCATTCACCCAGGGTTTCGCTCTGGTCACTGCCAGCAAGGTACGCGACCGCCTGCGAGTGAATTGTATCCATCACGGTAGAGGTACCCGAAATACTCGAAAGCTGCCGGACATCGTCACAGAGGGAGGGGACCGAAAGAAGGAGCTTACGTACACCAAGGCCAAGGAGTGTCCTTATAGTCTTTATGTCTCCTACAAAACTATCCGGAGCGGCCGCGGAGGATAGAAGAGCGAAAAGGCTGGGTGGTCGGTTTCACTTACGCGTACCATACGCATCCGCCACTTCAAAATCCCTTCCACTACGCCTGCCATAGATCCCGTATCCCAGAGCGGGCTGCGGCAGTCGATCTGGCCCTCGCGCATCGGACTGCCGGCCTGTCAGCAACTGAATCAACCCGGATTCTCGACCAACACGGCTTAGGCAACTGTCTTTCTGCAAAGGAGTTCTACAACCTGAGCCGGTCTGAAGGAGACGCAGCAGTCAAGAAGCGCTTGACGTCTTGCTCACTTGTTTGGAGTTCGAGGACTTCCGTGTTCGTTGCTTCTTCAAATACCTTCTTGACGACCAAGGACGACGGACAGCGCGAGTACTCGAGCACCTGTTCTTCTGTTCTTCCGAGCAGATCCGCCTGGGTAGAAGATTCGTCAGCGGATTCCTCATGCAAACCGATGCGACGTTCAACACCAATTGCCTCCACCTGCCTTTATCTGTCATAGTGGGAATCACAAACACAGGCAAGACATTTCCTCTGGCTTTCGCCTTTATAACATCTGAATCAGCTGAAGCCTTCGAATTTGTGAATGCTCAATTGGCAGAACTGGTCTGGTACGATTGCCCACCACCTCAAGTCGTTCTCGGGGATCAAACCAAAGGGCTCGCTGCCGCGATGGCGGCGTCCCAAGCGAGCTGATCCTCAGGGTGAAGATGGGCAAATATTGCAGCTCTGTGAATGGCATGCCGCAGAGAACTTCAAGAAGCGATTGTTAGACTCGGGCAAATATACGAAGGAACGAAGGGAAGAGCTACTTCGGTTTGTTTGGGATTACATACAAGCTCCCGATGAGGCGCGACTTGAAGAACGGCGAGGCGAGCTGCTCGCAGAAATTCGGGAGCCGGAACGCCTTTATCTCAAGAATAATTGGCAACCGAAAGAGCGCCAATTTGTCCGAGCACACACACGACAGTACCCGAACCTCGGATGTAACAGCACGCAGAGGAACGAAAGCTACCATGTCGTGGTCAAACAGTCTCTGAACAGGCAGCTTCCCCCTGCAGGCATCCTGTCAAAAACTGGCCGAAAGCTTGAAGAAATTAACTCAAAAAATCACTGAAGACGAGGATCGGAGCAGGGCTGACGTCCCAAGGCTGTTGGACCGAGCTGCTTTCCGCCTTCTTATCGGGAAGGTTCCACACTACGTTCTAAGCAAGCTAGCTCCGGAGTGGGAGGCAGCAAAAAGCTCTAAGATGGAGGCAAAACACTGAGCTCGAGAAGGAGCGGTAAGGTATTGGGCCTTCTCAACGAACCTGGATGTCCCTTCGCGTGTGAGTTCCCACTCAGATACGGCCTGCCCTGTCGACACTGGCTGTACGAGGCTGTTGTCAGGTCCTGGCCTGTCCCACTCAATGTCCCACTCAATGTCCTTCATCCACGCCGGTTACTCGACGGACCTGCGGTGGTACGCAGCTGGACCATGTCTTATGCAAAGCAGCCAGCTCCCGAGGTCACAAAAAATCCAGGGGATCGTTACCAAGATGGCGGTAGGAACATGGTTCTTCAATCGGGATTGGAGGTCGTTCAAGTACAGGGAGCCTCGGCGGACAGCAGGCAGAGGAGTTCTCGAGACTCTTTCGCCTACAGAATGACCGTCTAATAGCAGATTTCCAGGCGCAGGTACAGTCAAGAGCCCTCCTGCCTCCGGAATTGCCGGAAGCACTGCATTCGCCTGGCTTGAAGAGGTTCAAATCGCACGGTAGCACGAAAAGGCGATCCATGACCGGCCGTGAGGCCGCAGAGCATACTGCCGCTCGAGCGGACCGAGCCACTTCGGATTTGCTGAAGGGAGTTGATCAGCTTCCTGACCCTTCCTCGACCCCGTCCTCTCCTTTAGCAACTTCGCCACAGCTTCTTCGGGAAACGAGACGTAGTCGAACACGGAGCACGAAGGATATAGAGAAGGCGACGACTGCTACTGGGAAGTCTCCAGATAGAGCGGGAAAGGCCCGAAAGGGTGAGGAACCCGATATGCCTAAGCCGCGGTGCAAGAAGCGGAAGGCTTCCAAGGAGGATGAAACGCAGTTGGAACTGCAACAGCGGCCTACCCAGGATTGTATACTAGTGGATTTCCCTTCAGACTGAAAAATGGCACTTGTGCCCGTTCAGGTTGTAGTCAAGGCGCGATGGCTTTTAACCCATGCTTAGCGCGATAATCCCTGCAATATGTCTGTCGGAACCTGTCTGTCCGGAGCCATCCCGTGCATTAACGACTCTGTTCCAATCTCGTCTTGCTACAGATTATCAATAACCCTACGTGTGTCGCTCAATATGCATCTTATGTGACGTCTTTGTATCTACACTCGCTTCAGACTCGTTGACCCATCCAAGTGAATTGGAAACGGCAAGAGGAGCAGATATCAACCTCCTATGACTCTTGATTCCTTGGCTGCTAGACTTACTTTGCGGGTGTGACCCCGCAAATCAAGAGGCCGTGCATCGTGGCCAAGGAGACCGTCATCGACTGAAAGTTCTGCTGCTGCTCCGCAGTCAAGATGTGACGTTCTGCGACCACTTCGATTGGCAGTTCTCAATTCGGAACTCCGAGGTGAATTTCTTCCGCGCCTGAGCCGGCTGATTAGCAAGAACAGCGCGGTACTGCAAAGCAGACTAGCACCAACGGTGCCCGTGATGATGCCGATAGATGTCACCTCTCTCTCGGACCTTGACCTCCTGCTTCAGTAGAATCAAACGCGTCGTGGCTCTGAACCAAACTAGTGCTCGTGGGAAGAGCGCCGTAAGTCGTTACTCGGCCGGATTTGACGTTGTCTCGGACGTCAATCTTCGGATTGATGAGAGCAGTGAGGTTATTGACGGCATCCTCCTCGTGGTGATAAACTCGCGAGCTAGGCATCCACAAGTCTATCTGGAGCTTGTCTACCAAATTTTCAGGGTAATGTACTTTGGCCACAGTGGTGATGTAGCCCCAGGAGTCTCTTGTATCATAGGGCTCCAACGCGTACACTGGAAGTGTGTCAGAGGAAACGTGCTGGTAGCGGCCAGAGCTCGGGGTAAAAGTTGGAGAATAACTGAAGCAGCGCTTAGGTTCTTCGAAATAAAAGTATAGTTTAAAGGGGATAGAAACCCTATTTGGATCGGAACAGTTTCCGGCGGAGGCGTTTGATAGCGGCCGCTGGGCGAGATTCTATCAGATGGGTTTGTGGGGAGAGGCTTGGAAAAGAAAGCTTTTGCAGCCTCAAGCGAAGCCGAGGTTGGTCTCGGCGATGTTTTGAGACCGATTGAGGGTACAACTTCTTGGCTCGCGAACAAGATGGTGGTAACATCTATAGGGACTCCGTTAAAGGCTTGACTGGTGCGCATGGTAAATGATTCAGTCGTTCGCTCGACGGACGGACTTGCGTCGACGGAGCTTTGAATCAAAGCTCGGACATCCGTTGTTGAGTGTAACGAGGCTACTGTGAGCTTTGCTGCAGGGCTATCTGGAGGCAAGAAGTTCTCAGGAGTAACAGCTTGATGAGACTTGATGACCGGCGGCTGCATCCCAGGAGAACCTCCGTCTCCTGCATTGGATTGTGTAATAACCCAAGTCGGCTCAGTGATTAATGTAGTGGGAGGCGGAGGATCAGGAACCACGAGTTCTGTACTGGCCACTTGGAATGTTTGTGTCGAAGGGGGTCCGGTCAAGACGAAAGCCGAGGACCCTGAACTCAAATTCGGAGTAACAGAGGGCCGAGTCGAATCCATTGGATTTGAATACGTTGAGATGCTAATATCAAGTATCTCCAGATGCGTCGGTTCGAAAACCGGATAAGGCTGCGATGTTCCAAACTTGTCGAAACCTCCCCCAGGCGAGGGCTTCTGATTCGAGAGACTCAGGCTGGTATGCCGGTGTATGGCTCCTTTGCTTGTTGAAAATTGCCGTGCGGAATCTGATAAGGGGTGCTTCAAATCCGAGAAGCTAACCTTCGACCAAGGTCTGCTGCGAGGGGGCGCGAGAGGGTCCAAGTTGCTATCATCACTAGGGCTACCATGAGTTGGTAAGGATTCTGCAAAAGAACTAGTTGTGGTGGATCTTAGCCGGGGCGTTGCATTGCCCGCTTCGATAGGTCTACCGCTTGAGAGCACTGGAATCAAGCTTGAAACTATCGACGAGAAAATTGGCTCTCCTTTAAGGGCGTCGATATAGATTTGTACGGTTGGGGGTCGGCGGTACCGAAAGCAGAAGACAGGCCCAAAGGCGTTGTTTGCATTGCAATATTGGAGTTGAGGCGTTCCTTCGATGATGTTGGAGAATAGGAGACGTGAAGTATGGAAGCCGGCCTTAGAATGTCTGATTGCCATGATATATTGGGATCCAAGTGCAGCACGGATGATATTGATCTTGTGAACCACTCCCGGGTCGATTCTGTTGTAGCGGAACGACTAATCGTGAAAGCTGTGGGCATCTTCCTGCTTGCTGAAAGCTGTGGCTGGGTCATGGGCGTTTCCAGGGTGTTTGTCGACACATTTCGTGTGTCAGCTAGAATCACTTTGCTTACAGTGGCGGGAATAGTAAACTTTTCCGAAAATGACGGGGCGCTTGATTGGACCAAAGACATTTGCTCATGATGTGACACATCCATCCTACCTGTCCAGGTGAAAATTTGGGCTTTGGGGCTGGCGGAACTCGGGACGATGATCGTTCTCGAACCGGAAGCAGTCCAGGGCTCTGGAGGTCTCAATGAGTTGAGCTTTTCAGCTGCTGTTGATGCTGCCAAGCCTGCTGTTGAATCGACCTGGTTTCCCGTCTCCGAGGTCTCGAATGCAAAGGTGGACGGTATAACCCGGGCGTTTGAAGGGTTGGGCTGACATAACCCTTGTTACTACACCTTCTTGGCTTTTGACTCGGACAGCCTGAGCGAAAAATAATGCTAGGAGTATCGAACCTTGTAAAGCTAGTAAGAGTTGTAAACCGGCCTGGTGGATTCAGCTCTTGGCTCGGTGTATCCAGCTTCCTGGTTCTAGCAGGCTGTAGAGTCGATCTGCTCGCGCCCTGGACATCCCCGCCAAACGAGCTCCACGCCTGTGAAGCTGCTCCTGAGGTGTCATTTGCAGTCCGGACTATCGAAATTGGAATCTCAGAGACGGAGGGGGAATATATTGGTCTGCCAGCCGCGGGCTGCGCAGATACAGAGAAGCTCCAGCCAGTATTGCTCATTGAGAAGCCGATGGCGATATTGAACTCACTCTCTCGAAGGGCGGACGACTCGACACCCCAGCGCCCATGGCATGCGAGCCAGGCGGATAACGCCTTTCTCGGCCTGAACTGCGGGCTTGAGGTTGCGGCAGTGGGCGTTGGGCACTGACAAACTCCGCCAAAGCAAGTGCCAAGACCATAGCGGGGCCATCTCAGAATGAACGGTGTCAGTATCCCGAGGGTGCAGCGACACACAATGCGAGCAAAGAAGCGTCACACAACCAGTAGCCTGGTGAAAGCCAGATGCAAGCAGCACACAACACTTATTAATAACCGTGACTAAGTTGACCACATCGCAAGGGGACGGAGTCAGGAAGGGATGGGCGGTTCAAGGCCGGGACAAAAGTAGCAGGCAAACCATTTGCTTCTGAAATGCCTTCATGTCGGGTTCGCTAGAGACGGAGGAAATGCCTGCTATGGTGTTACATACATACAGGGGTTCAGGTACAGCGTCCGCCTTCGAAAGTATAAACTTGTCCCAGATTTGGGTCAATAGACGGTGCATATTATCCACATCGAAGTATCGCGCTACTGTTTTCTTAACAGTAGCTCGTTCGTACATAGGAGATACATACTTGTCGACGATTAAAAATGATGGCCATTGCGGCCATTTTTCTCTGTCTCGCAACACAGCAGCCCAAACACGCTGAAAATAGCGTACATGGCTCCCGACTGCCAACGTCCCTAGCATGAACAGATCCTGTCTACATATGATCCTCTAAGGACTTTGGAATGCGGAGATTGCCAAAAGTGTCTCATGGTTCCAAATAGGCGGCAGTGTACCGGTACCTAGTGCATCCGATTCGCACCACTCATGCCGGCCAGAAAGTCTGGTCCGTTCTACTAGGTAACCTCGGACGCCGCGGTCTGGGCGCATGCACTTGAAGCTGCTCTACATAGACTCACTCTTTCATCACTTTCAAAGGTACATTGTGATCCAGGTATCGCGTCGTCCGGGCTTTACTGTACATATTGCTCAACACGTGAGGTTAGCGCGAATGCACCAGTTGGGTTTGGTTGTGGTACCTGCCGCATCAAACCAAACCTTGCCGCGTCGAACCTTGCCACGCTAAACCTTGCCACGCTAAACCTTGCCGCTCTAAACCTTGCCGCTCTAAACCTTGCCGCTCTAAACCTTGCCGCTCTAAACCTCGTCAATCTTTACTCGGCAGCTTTTAACCTCGCCGGTTCATACCTATTACTTCCTGTTGGGGACAGAATTGCCTACACAGCAAGGACAGTACGACGTATACGCTTGAAGGCCAGTGACTTATTGTGACCGCTTCGATTCGGTGCTGGTTGGATACTGCCCTTCGTAACCTGCCACCAGAGGCGGCCAAGAATACAACTGTGCTCTTTCGATGGCTTCGCATAAACCTGCAACATATATGGTAGAACTGCATGGTGGCCGGCCCGATACAAACCGGAGCGTGATACGGCTATACTTTGCACTCAGTACTACATGTTGATCTTGAAATAGCTCCCTCCTCCCATGGTTCTGTGAGGCGCACAAGCACAACGAAACAGAGAGTGAAGAACGGAGCCAGTGATTCAATTGTTGATCTCTAAAGAACCTCCGACAGGAGCTTGTGGTTTCCCTTGTTCCTTTATGCCCGACCACTGTAGAGACAGCCTCTGCCAGCGCATCGCAGCCCCCACTTCACTTTCGCTCCGTGGTTCCAATTAGAGTTCCCACGTTCACAAGGGAATAACCTTACGTAGCCAGAGGATATCTGCACAATTTGGTGTTCTCTTCCAAAGATTGCCATTGGAGCCTGAATGATCAGTGCCCCAGTTTTTTAGGCGTGCGACAGGTTCCCGCACGTACGGTCGCTATTGAGTGACTTAATGATCGTAAAAATGACTACAGTACAGTCCCAGGATGATGAGCTGATAGAATATACGCGAAGCACATATTCTTCAGCTCTGTCTTGTCTTTTGTCAGACAGCAGTGTCCACACCTCGCACGTGACAGCGGTTGATCTTTGTGGCATTAGTCAATTGATGAGAATTATCTAAAGAACAAGAAGCGACTGATGCCACAAAGATCAACCGCTGTCGCGTGCGAGGTGTGGACACTACTGTCCGACAAAACCCTCACAATTATACCCAGCTGTACCGACATTGCATAACTGTGGGGTAACTATGGTATAGCGAATGAACAAGCAGCGGCAAGATCGGAACGCTCATTCACTGTGCTGCCTAACAGGCAGCAAGCAGTTCGTAATGCCATATTAGTGATGGATTCGAACCTTCTAGGTGACGTCGTCATCTATGCTGCCTGGGTGGCAACATCGCCACTCAGCCCAAAATCACAAGTATAAGAAGCCAATTTTTCACCATCACTTAGATAGAGAATCAAGAGTCTTTCGTTGCCCGATTCACAGGGGATCTCCTTCCCGATCGTTGCTCAGTCATCCATACTGTCCGTGCCTCTTGTTGTGTGACAAGCCCTGCAAGCAGCGTAAATGGTGCATAGCCGTCGTGTGGTGAGAAGTCATACCTTCGAAGAAGAGCAGGATTCATGTTACTGCGTATGTACCATTGGCTTATTCTGGCTGTGTTGCCTGGAATGCCCGGACCACTTGCTTAAATCACCTGTGTTGAAAAACGCAGATCTTAGCAGGCAGTATGTACTACGGCATTAGGTAGTGAGC